CATATCTCGAATAGTAATAACTTTTTCAGAATTTGTTTTCTAGAACATTTAAGAAACAAACAGTTCTATAATTTTATAATGTTATATAATATTATAATGTTATTTTTTGTCACCTTTATTTTTGCGGGTAAAACCACTACCTAATTTTATTTTTCAAATGCAAACCCATATTAAAAAGTCCATAAATAGATGGAGTATTAATTAAATATATTTTAGGGTTGACATTTCTGATTTCTGTCAAGCCGTTGACGAGATATTCCACTCAATAGACCTCCAATTTCAAAAATTGAATTTACTTCGTTCTCCTTCGCTCATAAATACCAATTTTGTAAATACTTTCAAAAATATGTATGGTAGTGTTCCATTAAGTGTTTCATTAATGTTCCACTAATAGTCCAAATATTTTCTACCAAAATATAGGTACGTTGCAAAAAGAACTAAATTTGATGCTCTTAGATTCAATTTTTCGACATTCAATCTTTATGATGCCATACTAATTGATATGATTGTATAAGGATTTTATACCAACAAGTAGAAGTTATAATTAGTAGTTGAGAACTACGTGTTTGAAAAATAAAATTTCAAATTTCACATTACACATTTTAAATATCTTGGAGCAAGAATTCTCTTGTTTATTTTTTGGAAAAGATAACGGGCCCATGAGTTCAAAATTTATAATAAGTAATAATTAAGTAATAAGGAAAATATTATATTCAAATAATAATTTAAATTTATCTTTTTTTTTTTCAATTTTATAGGTTATATAGATTTATTTTAGCTCATATAAGGTAGTATGTTTATCTGCCTATTTGTGTATAACGATGTACTTATATGCACATTTTTAAAAACTTAATACCCATCTAACATTATTCATACAGGCACACACCATGGATATTACCTGTGTTCTATTTTTGTGGTATATTTCATTATAATGTACATAATTAATTAATTAAAAATTACACGTTTATATTCTGATAAGTTATACATTTCCGGACCAAAATTTCACTACGGAAGGGAACAGCTTTATGTGTTAATTTCTATTATATAACATACTATAGTAATGTATAAAGTACAAAGTTTTAGGGTAGGTACCTATATTAAAATATACTAAATTTAACTTGTACGGATGAGTCGCTGAGTGTTTTCGTAGCAGTCAATGTTTGCTAAATTATGAACGATATTTTGTGAAATTGACTACAAGTTTTAAGGTTCCTGAAGATGAGGGATTCTCTATTTAGTTGTTGGATATACTGTAATAACAGTATAAATTATAATACCTAGTGTTTTATTGAAAACCAATTTGATTATTTGCTATACGTATAAGTAAAATATAACACAGCGCATTTGGAAAATAAATCTTCATTATTTATAAACGGTAAGTCTGTAGGTACCTATGAGTTAACCCCTTAGGTCCTTTTTTGTTGTCGTTGTTTAATTTTATGTTGATTTCTAAGTTACCTTTGAAATAAGGGAACAATCATATAATAATAATATAATAAACATAAAAATAATACTACGCTCAGAGTCGTTTTTTTCGTTTATAAAAATGTATTATTGCATATAGTTTATGAACTAATTTACGCCATATCTTTTGGGAATGTATGATACCTTTTCAAATTCTCAATTACAACAATGGTTTACCCATATAACTGCATTGTTCGTGAGTTCTGTACGATGAGTGTAATGACAATACACAAAATACGCGAAATGAACTGTATGGCCATTTTTTATGGTATGTATATAATATAAACGCTTGTGGTTTCAAATATCATACAATAATAAGGGTTGGTATAATAGTTAGTTTTTGAATTTATGTGTTCGCACGTATTACAATGATGTATAATCATAAACCAAAGATTCAAGCTTTATATTATTGTAATATGTATGCACGTATTTTATGTTTAACGGTTTAAATGGTATAGGTCTTTATTTATTATATGGAATTAAGTACTTAGTGTATAAATAAAATGTACATAAATTTAAAAGCAGGAAGATTAATATTATTGTAGTATGCGTTCGTTCGTAGGTTATTGAAAAAAATAAAAACTCAAAACAAAAGGCTTTTTATTATACCTACCAAATACAATATAATCGGAATTTAGTTGAATTCAATATCACCAAAATGTATTCGAGTATATATATTTTTTAATTAAATTTATTTATAAATATATTGGACAATGTATGAAGGACACGTGTATACATTTATCGTTGGTCGCATTAATATGCCGAGTCTAATTGATATTTTCTTAAAATTTATTTGTGCGGAATTTATGTGTTGGGCCAAAAGTATAATGTTCTGTGGAATAGAGTGATAATAATTATTATCTGTGCCGGAGTAGATGGATGTCCTTGCCTTGGATGCTACCGTTGGTTTAGGGGTGTGTTAAAATTTATGAAGAAATCAAAAATCTCTAGAACTTAATCCAAAAATGTATAATGTATAAAATATTTGCAAACTTTCTATAAATAATAATACCTACTAGTATAACATAAAATGTATACGAGTATTACTCATATACAAACTCGCCTACGAAGATATACCTATTGTAATATCTCCGGTGATATTAAAGACAATAAAATTCTGTTTTTAGATTCTGATTGGAACGAGGAATGTATTGGTTTTACAATTATATTTTTTTTTATTTTTATTTTTATTTTTTTTTTTATGTGAACATTTTTTCTATCAGAAATCATACTCCGATTATCAAGCATAGCACCTTTTCTGAAAGGAATAGTTCTTTGGGTGGTACTTTAGAGAGTTAATTTTTTTAAATTCTCATTAATTTTCTAGATAATGAGGAAAACCTCGGTCTTAAGGTTAAAAAGATTGAAAGATTAAAAATAAGATTGTCATTGGCAACCGTTTTTATTTATTTTTTGTTATTAGGTATTAAGTTTTTATTATTTTAATCTTTTTTAAACAACCATTGTTGTCATGGAAACGCATATTGTTATAATTTTACTATAATATGGTATATACCATTTATTGTATTATTGACAAAGCAATACTATCAACTGAACTCTGCTCAGAATCGTTTTTTCGTTAGCAATTGTTTATCGTTGCTTACAGATATACATTAAATTCCCGTCTGTATTTTACTTTCCCAACTTCCCACTTACAACAGTAGCTGCATCCATTTGTGAAGTATGTTTGTTCTTTTTTTTTTTTAATATTACAGTGAATAGGAATACAAATATTTATATTTCAATTAATTTTTTATGTTTTGGTAAAAACTTAAAATATAACTTTTTAATTTGTTATTTTTAAAAAATTTGAAGGTAGATATTTTACAGAATTAATTGTTCTGAAAATTTTAGCGTACCAATTTTTTTATTTTTATTAAATTTGTGATATTGAATAATTGTTTTAAGTTCAGAGAAAAAAGTGTATTGTCAATTAGCTATAATAATAATAATCAATTAGTGAATGTGATTACAGCCGGCTACATAATTATAGGTAGGTAAGTACGTTTCTCTGAATTTTAAAAAATGATTAAAAATCACGAACTTAATGAAAACACAAAACGTTGAAACCTCAAAATGTTTAGAAGAATAAACTTTATGCAATGGTTATATTCGGATTTGTCAAAAATAATAAAATAAAGTGTTTTTTTTAGTTTTTTTATAAATACTTTGTCAACAATATATTATGTTACATTATGGTAAAATAATAACAGAATAATATGAGTTATATATTTTAGATTCCGAGCGTAGCGAGAGAGCTATTGGTTTTACTAAGATATTTACTTTTCTTTCTTTTTTTTGTTCTAGTCTGTGGACACATTTTTTCCTAGTAAACTTGTTCCGATGTATAAGTGTAACACCACTTTTTCTGAAAGCTCAAATTGTCTATATCGTACTTTAAGTCCAATATAAAGTCATATTTTGATTTTCGACACAGTTTTTTAAATACAGGCACTTAAGTAGGAAAAAACGTAGGAAAACGTACAATTTCACGAGTTCATTATTTTAGAAAAACACAGACGACGGTTTCCTGATCTACATTTATTATGTATGCTAAAATAGCAAAAATAAAGACGTATGAATTTAATAATATGCCATAATATGTAGTGTTGAAAAAGCAATACTATTAACCGAATTCCGATCAGAATCGTTTTTCGTTAGCAATGGTTGTGTACAAATGTAAATTAAATTCCTTTCTGTATCGCACTATCCCAACTTCTCACTTACAACAATGGCCCATACATTGTACATTGTACCTATTTCCGTTTTTTTTAAAGTTTTATTTACAAACTAATAATAATATAAATAATTTATTTTAAGTGACCAACAACCTCTAAAGTCTCTATTATCACTGTCAAGTATTCTAATTAAAACGAAAGTATTAACTCATACAAGCTAATATTAAATAATAAGCACTAAAATAAAAAAATATGTACTTAAAGAATTTAAAAAATGTCTTCTCAACTATTTACAAATTAGGATAATATTTTATTTATCAGGTTTTTATACATAAGCATGTAGTATAGCTATACTAGTTCATCAAATTTTTTGAAAATTGTCTTTGCAATTTTATTGTTTTAAGTACGTTTAGAAACTGGGAACATAGTACGCACTGCACAAAGTGGGTTTTCCTAACTTGTTTTATAATTTTTTTCTTTCGTGGTGTTTTGAAGCGTCTAAAGGGACCTTGCGGACGGGGTTCCTTTTTATTGTACTATTAATATTTGTTTATCCACTTTACCACCGTACCTGTACGCGAGACAAATGAATCATCGTGTTTCACAAAACGGTCAACTTATTATGGGGTAGTGTTTACAGTGCCATACAAATCCATGACTCACCGTTGCCGGTAGTTTTCATAATGTTTTCCCGTCAAGTTCGACGACCACTCGTCGTCAAACCACACGCACATGGCAGTGAATCATGCGTATAATGTATATATGCTGTTGCCCGTGCGTTCCCCACCCAAAACGGTTTTAGACACATGAAAATATTCGGTTCACATGTCCATGTAACACACACACGCGCACTCGTATAAGAACCACTACGAGTCTATATCGTGTGGAAGAAGTAATAATACCGCGGCGACTGCCAAATGGCCCAGTATTAGCTTCCATGTGGTTTTGACTCGACTGTGGCACCACCGCGCGAGCTCATTTACTATTATTTTTTTCGAATTTCGTGTTGAAATGGAGTGTCTTTCTCCGCGAATCGGTGTTCGAAAAAAATTTTCCGATCGATAAAATGCGTGATTAGTGCGAAAGTTATTATACACATTTATTATCGTTATTACCTGATAGGTGAGGTGTCTATTATTCGCAGTTTTTGACAAAAATGAACAGTATAAAATGAAGTGTTTATTATTGTTGTTAGTTTTGATTGTCGTGCAAACTTCACATCAATTCAGAGGTAAATAATATTTATTATTAGTATAGAAAGCTGTGATTTTTTATTTTTTTGAAGAAGAAGAAATTTCTAGTAAAAATAAATAAAACAAATGTACTATCAGTTATACGGCTTATGTTTTGAAAAAAAAAATCATTTGTGTTCTCATTGTAGTTGAAATAACTAAATTCAGTGATTTGTTAAAATGAGTAAAAATGAGTGCTTACAAAGTGCTTAATAGTACTTACTTACTTGGTGTACCTATAAAACAAATCTGTACTATTGAAACTATCAAAACGCATACTAATTTAAAGTTAAATAAACTTAGAAATTTGTATATAATATGTATGTTGTTTGTATGCACGCGATTAAATTAGTCAGAAATGGGCCAAATCAATTAGGATAAGTTTTGAGTTATTTGAATTTTTTTGACTATATTTTTTGACTATTTGACTATAGTTCGTTTAAAGTGACCAAGGAAAGCAATAATAAATCATTCAAAGTTATAAAGTACGAAAATACGTAACTAAATTTGTAACTATACTATTTTCCATCCAAATCCAAAATGTAAGTAGGAAATTTTGTTGAACTGTTGTATATACGCGTATATACTATATCATAAATATATATATAACTTGTAGTTTATTAGCCAGCTACAATGAATGGTCCATGAACATTAGCCAAAAATTCTAGTTACAAAAGCCAAATATTAATTAATATTTTCTCGGAGTTTTCGTTTTATTCCGTAAAGATGTTACAATTCGTTTTCATATTTCTTGTAAACTCTATATATTAAAATATTATAAACATTTTTATTTGAAGACTTTATTTAAAAAGTTTTCAAATAGTAAATAGTAGCAAATAGCCCCTACGTAATAATTCTGCGAAAATTGTAATATTTATATCATGTAGCCTATTCATGGTATATTATTATGGTATCTGGGTATTTTCGAAGGGATAAAATTGTATTCACATTGGACATATTAATGTTATGTTTTTACATTGTATTCAACTAAGTATCATATTCAAAAAAATAAAATCGATTTAGTACGTAGGTTTATTATATTTAATGTATACCTAAGTAATCCAAATACATTAAACTATAAATTGCCTAACCGTTTAATTAGGAGCCTAGGTACATTGTTCCATTAAATATAGGCGGTTGAGTTGTTATTTTTAAACCGATAACTCTGATAACCACTCAGTATATTGTATTATACTTGGTGTACGAGTATATATGCGAATTTTTATATATTACATGTCTAATGATGTATACCCAGATTATTGTTGTTTTATACATTACAATTGCGCTCGTGCGTCATATTTTATTGCACGTGACTAGTGTGTTGTCCACATTTTAATGCCGCTTAATGTGCACTATATACTACTATATACTATGTCTTCTGAAGTTACAAGTTAATTATTTATTACACGTGATCTTGGTAGGTACTATAAACTATACAATAGTTCAGTTTAAATCCCTTTGGTGCCTTTAAAAGTAACCGCGTTAACTAACCTGATTACGCTCTTAAAATTAATATTAAAATTATTAGTTGGAGCTTATAACTTATGACACTATTATAATATGTAACGAATCAAATATGTATTTTATGATTTACTATTATAGGGAAATTAGATATCTGTATTACCTACATTAGTCATCTTATCCTTTTGTCTATTTTTATTAGCAAGCCTAAAACCATATAAGTGTAAATGAAAGAGGGTATTTTTTTAAATTCAACTGTCTCCAAACGCTTCCTAGAATATCAATATAGAAAAATTAGGTTTATGTAATTACATTTAAGTTTTGATATCGAAATGTCGTGTGACATAAAGTTGCATTTTAGTTTATGTGCCCATATAGACTAAATTATATATGATCCCCTTTTAACTACCTACTTAGCATTAAATGGTGATTAGGACAATTTTTTTTAATAGGGGTTAGGGGGTTTATGCTTTAGGTCATATAATATTATAATGGAAACGGAAGTAATAATTTTGTTGAATTGTAATTTCCTGTGAAATATAATTGCACTTAAGTATTATTATCATCTGACACATCAAGACTACCTACTTAAATTAAACAGGAACGTATTTTATATAATGTTTTTTTAGATTCGGAGTTTATTTTGTTTTTAAATCATACATATTATCGTACTGTAATATTATAATAAAATAATCGTAATTAAAAATATTTACAATTGGACATCGAAAAAACATACGTGTTGAAAACCTGAATAATATTTATCCTATAGATAAATATGTTATCCGTTATGTTTAATTATGGATTAAATATATATTATTTAGTATTTTTATAAAAATACGATATGGATATCTATTACCTACACATAATTAAAATTACGTTTATAATATTTGTATTTTATGAATAGTATCACCAACTATCAACTATATCTAAACGTTTTAAAAGTTGAATTTAATTCAAATTTTAAGTAAGTATAGTAGTAGACAATGGTTGAATGGTGATAAATGAATGATTCGGTGTAGACATAGGTATTAATTTTCTTGAAAATGTATGCATTCAAAAATTTAAATTAGTAGGTAATACACTAATACGAATAAGTTAACGAGCGTTAGTTATGAATAATATTATATTATGGCATATAAATTTATTGTACTATTGAAAATCTATAAACAACTATTTACCACATTTGGTTATTATAATTTACATTTAATTACAAACAAATGCGGTGTCTTTCACGCTGGGCGGTAAGCGCGTATAGTATAAAGCATCTGTTTTCACACCTATTTGCACATGTGGTTTACCACTTCACCTTTGCCCGCTTTACTTTGCACCACTTTGGGATTTACTATGTACATTTTCAGTGGGAACCTCTTATAAAATTATTTCTCGCTAACCAATCTCCCAGTTGAGTACCGCTCAAAAAAATATTTTAAACGTTTTTTATTCGATTTAATTGCAATTTTCTACGTTTTAGAATTTAGATTTTGAGTGTACCGATGAGTGTATTAGTTTTCTTACCTGTAATTTATGTATTTTTTTCTGCTTGTAAACGAATTTTATATCCAGAAATCTTCATCATCAAGTGTAGCATATTGTTAATAATTCATAAAAACTGGGCCAGTTCACGCAATAACGGTTACCGTTTTTTTTTCCGAATATTTATTATTAGCTCTTTTTAAAACATATAGTAAATATTTCAAAATATTACGGTTTGTTTTTATCAATTTATAGTTATTTGAAATGTTCGGGGTTTTTATTTTTATTTTGGTTTTATGTGCACAAGATTGTTTGGATTTTGCAAAAATGCTCGAAAATTGTACACAAAGTTCATCATAAAGTTGTACTTATAGAGGTAAAAAAAAAAACAGTTCAACACTATGTGTCTTTTTTTTTTTAATATGCGTTAAAAATCTAAAATTGTAAAAATCACGGCTTTTCAAAACACGTTTCATCAAACGTCGTTCATAATCATTTGCAATAATCGTTAGAAATAATTTACTGTTGTGTACGGATATAAATTAAATTTATCTATGTATATCCTATATAATTCCTTAACTTTTTATTATCATTATTATTATTTTCTTCTAACATCATTCCATTTCTACACGTTTTAGATTTTAAAAAAAGGATTCCCTACCCCACGATCGGCAACAAAAATATGTTCTTTCTTTATTTACAATGAACAGTCACCACGTGCACCGTATAAGCGTTCGTGTTCTGACGTTTAAGTATAACATATAATATTTTATTTGGGATAAATACTCTTAAGATTTCTGTTATTGCCCCCATTGTTTGATTTTAATCTATATATATGTTCACGTCAATATAGTGAATATAAGGCGATAGAATGTAATATCACATTGTGAAATCTATACCTAGCTTATGTTTTACTCAAATAGTTTACCAATGCATGTGTGTGGATAAGGGAACTTTGGAAATTATATTGTTTTATTCTAGACAAATATTTTATTTGACATAACCGACGCGTAAGTGTATTTGAAATATTACTCGATTTTGGTATACATGTATATTTTATTATCTATAATCAAGTTACAAATATATATACATATATGCATTTCTGAATATTGTTGTTTATTTGGATAAAATTATATTTTTTAAATATTTTATATTAGGTATATTGTATTTTACTATTTTATTGTTTTTTACGTGAAGTATAATCGAGTTTCTGCAGAATTTGTATATATAATCGTAATTCGTAATATTATCTTTTACTATTAACTTAATATTAAGTTAAAAAAAAAGAAGAAATTTAATCACAATATTAGTATAATGATTGGAAAATATAAAAACGTGTATGTTTTAATAAAGATTTATAACATAATATATTTACTTTAAAATAAATATGTTGAATTGATGAATAGATACAAATATACAATATATTAAATATACCTAAACAAAAATTAATTTGGAATAATATTTGTTTGGTTTTTTTTTTTTTTATTGTAAAGAAGACATTTTATATTCTACTTATTTTATTTGACACGTTTTTTATATTAAAATAGTATTATAATATATAGAATTTGAAACTGGGTTTTAATATTTTTGATAGATGATGATCAGTGTATTATATCATAAATAGCAAGTTGTCCCCCGATATTATCATCGACATGTAGGCCCCTCGAGCGCGTGTTTTTTCTTCGATGCCATTTTTAGAATTCTATCATCTATAAATATTCCGTTGGCCGGACAACAACAACCGCTAATGTTTCTTGCTCGGGCGTATTTGAAATATTTTTTACGGTCCAACCGTCCAATAACTTACAATCAGCTGCTTCCTGTCAATCAAATGCATATGTTACCACAATAATCGACACTCTAAAAAACTAAAAACAAAAACGTATTAAATATGTACAATTATATATTTGAGCTCATAGGTATATTCAAATATTCCTAGAAAAATCAGCAAATATTATATTAGTACAGTACACCTGTCGTTAGAATATTTTTTTCGCTATACTATTATTACAGTTTTCTTTATTGTCACTAGTTATGTACGTTCCTAATTTATTAAATTCAATTTCGAATATCAACTTAATAGATTTTTATTATTTACATATTATATAGTTTTAAAGTAAAATTCATTGTGCGAGGTTAACAATTACCAAACCGCTTTTATATATTATATATTGAACTATTTTCAGTAGTTGTATTCGATTTTATTCGAAATCGAATATGAAAAATAATATTGTGAATAAACGTATTATACGTAATACATTATTTTTATTTTAGTGCATCTATCTATATGTTAAATGCTATATAATAGTATTTAATTTAGGTATATATTTAAGGTGCATTTCTTCGGCAACCCCCAATTAATATTTTAAAACAAACTTAGGATAAAAAAAACCACTCCTAATTCGGTTCTAAATTATTTACTGGGGGAATGCAATACTATTTAATTTGCTTAATAAAAAATAAATTAGAACAACATATAGTTTCCATCAAATTACGAAGTGCCAACACTAGTTTGATTATTTCCTATGTGTAGCCTATACCTATATAAATCTATATAATATAGGTGTATAATTTTAATACCTACAAGTAGTTTGGCGTTCACTGAATATTGTAGACCCGTAAACGTACTTATATAGGTTTATCACGAATATTCACGCATCAAAACGCTGATTTAAATACAGACGTTTTGGTCCTGGGATCGGTAGCAATCGTATAAATTATCCGAGTTTGAAATTTAGTGGTCAGTCTGAATCAGTTTACCTTAACGGAAACTTTTACTTGAGGGACTCGGGACCAATATTATAGACTCAAGGTGCGTGATACTGCATTACTGCAAGACATCACGGATTCCGTGCGAAATTCGATACACCCGAAATCGCATAAAAACGTTTTGCGTTTATAAGGAATAATAGCGTAAAATAATATCCACACGTCGGATAGTTTGGGCACTGCTCTTTTTAGTTGTTTCAATTGACATTTTGGTAGTTTGCGAAATAGTTCGTACATACGTAGCAGTGTATAGTCGTGTGGGTACTCTACTCGTATAAAATAATATGAAAGTTCCGAAAACCCTGTATAATCGAGTATAGGTACACTCAGTGGTTAAAACGGAAACAATTTCGAGAAAGTAGGGTACTATATTTATCAAAAATTGAAGTGCGTTTTCGTGAACTCAATTAAACTTCCAGAAAACCTATATGGAATCAAGATTTGATAATGTTTTTTCTCCTACGCACATTTGTTTATAAAGTTGTTCAAATTAAATTTAACATTATACCTCAATGACAATAATTACTAAATAAACGTTCCCCCAGACTTCGAAGACTTGAACTTAAGAGAACGGATAATTTAAAATACGTACCCCCGCCCTCACTTTAACCACTGGGTACACTAAAAAATTACAGAGGCGAGTGAATAATGTTATAATATATTATTATAATATTATAATAATATATTGCCGACAGAGTGTAAATAATAATGATAGTTATTATGCAAACGTTTGCTGAAAAGATGAATCGAAACGAAATCTTTCGTGACGCTTTACGTGTGGTCATCGTTGTTGGCGACAAATCTGAGAAGATATATTTCGTATTTGCAACGTGACAGAGGTAAACAATACCACATATATGTAGATAGGTAGGTATTATTATTATTACATGCTCAAGACTACAGGCATGTGTTAAAAAGATAAAAATCAAAACAAACGGTCGAATTAACATAATTGCGATGTATACAGTGTGTTACATTCGAATGACATGACAAAATATTTCAGACTTGGATTGTAATAGGTTTTTTTTTTAAGAAGTTTCAAGTCTATCTTCCTAAAGATAAAGCTTAAATTGGTTCTATTTTAAAAGTATTAATTTTTTGTGAGATGAGTAACGAAATAAAAATTATTTTTAACAGAAACATCCATGCTTAATACTAGATAAAAAAAATAGTCCTATTTTTATTCTTTTCCAAGCAATTTAACTTAAAAAACTGTTTCCAATCTCAAAAATTGGTTGAAATATAGTCATCTAAAGTTCATTAAAAAATACGATTTTTAAATAAAATTAAAACTTATGTTATTATTAAGCGTGTGTAATTTTATGATTATCTTTAGTCATATATTTTCCCCAAAAACAGTAGATAGCCAAATTTCTTTACTTTCTATGTCGCTCGATTTAAATTTTTTGAAAAACTCAGCAAAATCATATATATTTTTATTGTGTATAACAGCTATTGTGGGTGAAATTATTTTGAAAAGGGGCTCCAATAGAAACCAAAACGTTCGATAATCCATCCCCTCTTTTTATTTCGACCCAAGTCCGTAAGAAATATTTCGGTGTGCAATCATTTGAGTGAAACATACTGTATAATATAGTGTAATAATATGTAGTAAGTATATGATGGGCACGTCACTAAAGAATAATAATATGCTTTGTGTTTTGGCAATTTGGAAATTATCGTGGTCTCGGGGGGCAGGAAGACAAAACAAAAAATTACACGAAATATGAATATGAATACAAATAAATATGAATACCTAATAAATTGGTTTCATGTAAAATAAATAAAGAACTAATACTGCTGATGGGTGAGCCACTGTTGGAGAATTTGGAATATAGGAGACATAATGTAATTTAATTTATATCTGTACGCGACGATAAATCATTGATGACAAAATACGATTTTGAACGAAGTTCGGTTGAAAATATTTTGTAATGCTGCGATGTTTACAATTTTCTTCGAATTCGAACTTTAAACGCTAAACATTTTTTTTTAACCACGTGTGGTTTAGATTTAAACAAACGTTTAAGCATTTCTGATCCGCCAAAAAATATTTTATCTACATAAAACAAAAATTAAAGAAATTCGAAAATGTCAAATGCCTTTAAATAGCTCAAAAATTGCCAGATGGTTTTAAAAATTTGACTGCGTTTAAAAAGGCTACTATAAGTATTCTGCGAAAATTTCAGAGTTCTAAGATTATTTTCAACCGGATTACAAAAAAAAAAAAAAATTAAAAATACTGGAATCATTATTTTCGTAAACTTTATGTTTTTCAAAGTTACGAAACAGTTATAAAACAAAAATAAAATAAAAATTATTTCGGATCAAGATTTCTAGTAGAAAAACAAAATCGAAAATAACGAAACCTATATTCCCGCAAATTCGTCAGGTTTTCCTATACGAATTTTTCCAGTTTTCCCAATTATCATGAAAACTATCCGGAAAATTAAACCATGAACTTTCTAATGCATCAAAACGCTCCAAAAAGAAAGTTGTCCTGTCGTTTTTCGTTCCGAACGATAATTGATAAGTTGTTAATCAGATCGAAAATAAAAGCGCACGCCGTAGCGAAACTAATTAGTGTACATTCCTCGTTGTGTTCAGAATCTAAAATAAACTATTATAATAATATACAGGTACTTATAGAAATAGTCAATTCGTGGCGCGCGCGGTTGATTTCGCGCGGACTCGACCATGCGGCGGGATACGAGAAGTACAGGGGCAAAGAAAACAATAGACGACAATTATTATTTGTATTTGTAGTTTTTTTTTTTTTTTTTTTTTTTTTTTCTCCTCGGAGTTGACCGCGCTCCGGTATTCAGCCCCGCCGCCGTCGTCGCCGTTGTACGCCTTCTTGTACGTAGGTATACTTTGCGCGTTCGGTATTTCGTATATTACAGAGTGTTTGACGACATCTGTTCCTCGGCGGTCGCGTTTATATATTATTATTGTCGTGTGTGTCGTTTTACGAGCGGCATTCGTATCCCGTAGAATAATATATCCCGTAGAAGTACTACTACTACTACTGCTAGTAGTAATAGTAGTAATAGTAGTAGTAGTAGTAGTATTGCTATACATACAACGACGTCGGTCGCCGTCGCATTCGTCTCTCGGTCTCTCGTCGCGTCCGCCGTACGGAACACAATGCCGCGGCGCGCATATATAGAAATCCACACGCACACGCGCGCAATATAAACGACGACCAAAACAACAACTACACTACGACACAGTGGTCGTACACTCGCTCCTCGTCGTATAATAATACTAATAATAATAATAATAATAACATAACGTATTATATTATATTTTATTATCATTTCGCGCGTGTCCCCCCGGACGGCCTTTGGAGACGACGGCGATCGCTCTCGTTCGTATCGTTTGCAAAATAATAACTACGTAACCGATGACTCATTGACCGCGCGGCCGCTAAAACTCGGGTCGCCCTCCCGTCACGCGGCGTATTCATCGCACATTCGAAACAGAATATTACATCCCCGCGGGGCCGCTGAGCACCCGGCCTTTTTTTCTCGTCCTATACGTACGTCCGTTATCGTCGTTATATCGGATGGCGAGAAGTTCGTATCCCGCGCTAACTACAGCACGATTGCACGGTGGCGGAGAATCGTACGCCCTAAAATCGTATAAAATATGCGCGCGGTCATGTCCGACGGAAATCATAAAACGCCCATAAAAACATGATATTAAAAAAAAAAAAAATAAAAAAAATTGAAAATTGTAATGATATTTCGTATTATTCGACAGTATTGCCGTGCGTACAGTCAATATTCTTCAGCCTGAAAACGAAAATGTTTCATATTTTTTAAAACTTACTAAAATTGTCAAAAAAAAAAAGCTGAAAAGAACGATTTTTTACATATAATAAATTGAAAAACCTATAGCAACCCATTCGAGCAGAACAAATATTATTTTATCTAAAACTCAGGTACCTACTAAACCTTTTAAACGCCTAATAGGTACTTTTTTCGGAAAGAGAAAAATGTTCTAAAAATATTGATACGCATATAACGCATTAATATCGAATAAATCGTTATCGAGTTGACATTAACTAGGTACATAAGTATCAGGTTTATAAAAACTTATTTAGTTAAGTTTTCAATTGTTATCGCGTTATACTCACTTTCAGATTCTGAGTGGAGTGAGGAATGTATTGGTCTTGCAATGATGTTTTTTTTTACGTGAATAACTTTTCTATCAAAAATTTTGCTCCGATTTTCAGGTATAGCACCTTTTCTGCAAGGGAATTTTTCTGGATTGGTAATATATAGAAGTCATTTTTTGATTTTTCCAGGAGTTTTCATAATAGATGGGAAATATGTTGCAAAAACAGGAAAATTCACGTACATGTACCTATAAAAAAAAAACTGCGCTACGAATGGTTTTTCATTAACGATGGTTTATCGTTGCATACAGATTATAAGTTAAATTCTTCTCTAATCTTACCTTTCTAACTTTTCACCTACAACAGTGATCCATCCATCGTGTGAAGTATGTCCATTTGTTTTTTACAATTATTTTTTCATAAATATCGCGCAGTCAAGTTGACGGATTGAAGGCGAATGATTTAACCTGGTCTTTTCGAAGTTCAAATATGCATGAACCTATTCAAATTTAATCCGCTGTGATTGTCGATATATGTGTATGCATTATATACTGCACGATTATTTAAATTGTTTTTTATTTTACAATTCTGAACCATCTTTAAATAATTAATATTTTTTAAATATATTTTTATTAATAAACAATAAATAAATTAAATAAATAACCATAGTTTAACAGAGACAAGTTATTATTTTTTTGTTCGCTTTTTAACTTTTAATAACTGAAGAATTGTTTGTGTATTCAACTTCATTTCTTTATCTAATTAATTATTTTCATTATAAAACTCGGGAACTTGTCCATCTTTAAAATACCGTTTATGGGTTATAATACAGTTAAAAATTCAGTCAGGAAAAGTTATTTTAACACAGATATGAAATGAATTACCATTCCCTTCGGTATTTGATATCTGATTTAAGTGTTACTCATTACGCACGTCAACATTTTTAGGAAAATATTCTCTTTTCGAACATTGGTTGAAAATCCAAAGTTGATGCAGAATACCTACGTGGCGTTTATTATGTAACATACAGGATGAGAGTAAAATTATTTTGTAAAACATTGTAAATTGTAAGATCGAACTATGTTACATGTCAATTATAAATATGTTATTATTATAACGACTGAAAAACACCAAAATCAAATTTACTTAACGGTTTCGATGGTTCGTAATAAAAGAACCGCCCTGTATACAAATACCAATACACTACCGCATTCTATGCTCCCTCCCGTGAAAAATCCGACTCATCACCATCAACTTTTCTTTGGACTACGATGACACGTACCGTAATACACAAATCACTCGCGACTACAGACAACCGTCTCGTGCCGCCGCCGATGTAGGATTATATTATTATTGTAGTTGTGGCACGTGTGAGAGATCTCGGACCGCAGGTGCGAGGAATTGGTCGCCATATTCGGTTCGATTCTCATCGTATTATATTGTAGTTTTTAGATTCTGAGCGAAATATAGAATAATGTATTGGTTTAAATGATATATTTAGGATTTTGCCGCATAGGGAGGTATTGAATTTAGATGTTTTGTAATGTGACAAAACAAAAATAGTAAAACCAATAGATCCCTCGCTACGCTCCGAATCTCAAAGATTAATTTTTATTCAGTAGTCCTATAAAAATAAAAGATAATAGAAAAAACTAAACGGTTAAAGAGGGGAGGGAGAAATATACGTTCCTAATCTGCCTTGTTCCCTTTCAATACGCTACTGATTGATTTATTTAATATATATTATGATGATGATATTTTTATATCTTTAAACAACTTTTTTACCATAGTATCGTATTTTCGTATATTGCTTCGACCGACAACTTCAAAGGTGGTTTTTGGTAGTACATTTTAATTAGTTAGTAAATTGAGAAGGTTATTATTATTTTTATTTTTAGTTTTTCTTTAATAATTGGAAAAAAGGGGAAAATTTACTCGAAAACAGTATCGTTATCATAAGTTGTTTTTATAAGGCACTATACAAATATTGAAAATCTGTGTTAATAATTTTTTTTATAAGCGTTTATAGTTGTTTTTTTAATGAAAACCGTAAAAATCTATAATCTAATCATGTGACTGATAAACACTTGTACTTGTACAAGATTGTCATCTTTTTTTTAAGACTTTGTTACTTACTTTATTTTTGTTTTAATATTATAATAATGAATATACTCCCACGTCTTTTAGTCCTTCGTATATATTATTATTATACAATTAAAACATGTATGATAAACTTATCGTTATAATGTACGTATATTAGGTATATTGTTAAAAATATTTCTATTGTATAAATCGTTTCGTCTACTTTTGTTCGTACATAATATGGAGATTATATAAAAACTTGTGACTGTATAGGTACTGTAAAGAAACAATGCGATCAGTTTGAACTCTGAACTATTTAAAAATGTATCTAAAGAATGCATCTTAAATTAATTTCGACTGTTAAGTATTTATATCCTCATTTTTCACGTTTCAAATATATCATACTAGATAAACGATTTGTTTGATAGATATATAAGCAAATTAAAAAATAGTTACCTATATAATTTTCAAGAAGACGTTTTCCACATTCCTTTTGTAAGTTCATTATAAAAAAGCTGATTATTAATTAAATATAAGTAAATAAATGGGTAAATACGCAATTCAAAATTATTAAGCGTTATTAAAATAAACATTTTGTTTAATTTTGTCTGGAGGCTGAATAGTTAATTTTATGGTAGACCAGATAACAGCATTCAGGTAAAGAAACTGTTTTACTCAAGTTACATTTTGAATTACTCAGATTAAGTAAATTTAATGTAAAGCGAACAAAGTCCGTTGAAATTAAAAGAAAAATACGATTTGATTAGGGACTACCTGCCTAGTAACGTTAAGAAAAATAAACATAATATTTCAATTTTTCCAACCAAACACAACGTTTTGAACTATTCTAAATGTATACAAATTATTTTTGATTAAATCCGAACGTTTTGATATAATAATTACACACGATGCGAGGGATAAAAAAAATGCTATTAGTATTTCAAAACTTTTTTTTTTATGAATTCCTACGTATGTATATAGCATTAGGTATATCAATTGATAATATAATATTATGCATTGCTTACTACATTGTGACCTTGTGTTTAAAAATTCTTTTTTTCTTTTTTTAGTAAGCATGGAAAATCATCTATAAATAAAATTATTTGGCGTCATTAGAAGGGCTTTCATTTTACACGCGACGTTGTCATTTAATTTATTCGGTATTAAAAAAAATTGATTTAATTTATAATATTAATTGTAATTATTGCTATAGGTATGGGTGATAATTAAACTTTCACGTTTAATAATATGCAATGTTTTATTACACTTACTACATGAATGATATATTTATATTTGTAAATATCCAACTTTGTTTTAATCAAATATAATTTAATAAATGTATCATTAATACCTATAGAGTATAGGTCAAATAGTTTTTAAATTTATATTTCCAGAAATATAATTAATTAATAATTTTATAAAAGCAAGTTCATAACTAATTCGTACAGATCTCATGCCAAATGTCCACCAAAACGAATATTCCTATTTAAAAAATTAATTTAATTTATCATTAACAGTGGACAGTGATTTAAAGGACGAACCATAACTGAATACAGAAAATAAATAACTACAATATTTGTATTTAAATACTAGTACTTGAAAATGTGACTTACAAATAAAAACCTACTATACCTATATTTTATGATACATTAATAAACAATTCGATATTACAGAATTAGGTTCTCGATTATAGATCTTCTATCTAAATAGAATATATATATAAATAAAACTATAGTTATGATTGTATTTAAATATTCGAAATTATTTTATGCGAACTGCAGTTAAATTTCTAATTTATTGGGTAAAAACTGATTAACTAAAACGTTATTCTAAATTAAGACTATAATAGTTTCAGAAAATACCACAAGTGTTTAACATACCTACTTACTACTAAATTCGTTGTTAAATGTATTTTTGTTCTATTGTATACTGTTCTTCATTGTTTCAATGAAATGTTGTTAATTTATTTATGTTTAGTAAAAAACAATCTATTTTAAAATATACAATTTTAGAATTCTATCTGAATGGACCTGTTTGATTAGTTATCAACTACAACATACACTTTTATTGAATCAGAAAAAGTAAACTTTTGGAATATATTTCTGGAAATGTAATGTATAATATAATATTAATAATCTGTCGATGTATTTTGATGTATTTTATCTTTAAGATGTAATTTGTATAATTATTGGACTTCCATATCTAATCCCGCTGATATTTAAAGTTAAATTTAAAGTAATTTTAGATTTTACGCTAAGTGAGGAAATTATTTATTTTTAATAATATGTTTATTATTATTATTATTTTTTATTGATAGAAAAACACGTATCTGGGGTAAAAAATGTTCAGCGTTTTATTCAGAAACTTTTAAAAATTATGAATTCTGTTTGCTCTAGTCGTTTTTTATAAGTGGGTAAAAATGTAAGTTTTTTGTTTGATTTACATATTAAAAAAAATGTGTAGATTATATCTTCCTTTCTATAAGTATTTACTATCTTTTTATACCAGTGTGGCGTTTCAAAAAGTTATAATATTAGTTTAATTATAATTTCGATTAGTCTAAACAAATATATACTAAAATTAATGTTCTTAGTATTGTTTAAATTATTTAATGTGTTGTGTTGTGAAATATTTGTATTAATGATGAACACTTATTAGAATAATTTGTATAAATTAAAAACAAACTAAATATTTAATTTTATTATTCGGTTATGGGTTTAATATATTTTACCATCGATTTTTAATTAATTATCGTTTAATAATATAAAAGTTAAAATCAATTGAAACAATTAATACAATATCTACTCAAATAAAATAAAATTAAAATTAAAAATTCGATTGTAGTATTTGTATTTACGGACGTGATGGTGAAAATATAGTCAAACATAAAAGCAGAATCTTTTCCTGTTCGGCTTCATTTTTTTCAATTCTGTGTACCTACATATTAAACGTATACCTGAATACACAAATTTAATGTGGTCATTTGCATACAGTCCATATATGGTAGTTACCTAACGTGGAACTTTGTTAATGTGCTCGGTGATAAATGCGATCTCATAATTTCGGATAAAGATAAATGTTTTTAACACAAAACCGCTTGTCTATTAGCTGTTAAATTAGTTGGCCCGGGTGGACTGGGGTGCTGTTCAATTTAATAGATAGCGGACAGTTAAATCGCTCGCTCGCCCGGGCCTTAATAAGAGGTTTTCGGAATTATTAGTGGCGGACCCACATTCCCTTTCCATCTGCTATCTTCCCCCAATACAACAGGTGGTGTGGTAGTTTTATTTAAAACTGTACGGCTGTTTCCAAAAAATACACCCTCGGGTATTGGCCATCGCCGACCTATTGTTATTACCCTCCGTTACGCTCATACAAGGGAGTGTAGATTTTAATAAGGACACAGTTTTGAGAATTCAAATTTGTATCTCTAGGGAAATTTCACTTTACATAATACACCTGGACTAAAATTGAAAAGAAATTCTAGACTATATATTATACGTGTGAGTATATTATTGTTTCATTACCGATGAGGTAATGACACGATTCATTAAATTGTTTACCGTGATCTAAAATCGAATAGTGTATTATAATAATAATATCTAATCAATTTTCTCTTGATTGCATTCAATCGTAATAGGTACTCACTATTCAAAAATGAATCAGACTTATATGTAAATGACTATAGCTGTCTAATAATTTTATTTTTTAAGTGAGTCGTAATAATAACTGTATAAATGTAAAAATACATTATATATGTTTATATATAGGTATATTTTAGAATATAATAATATTAGTGATAGCAGAAAATAAAAAATAACGAGAAAATAGAGGTAAAAGAAACGAAGTGTTTTCGTACTAATGGTGTTCACCAAATATTTTCCAGAATATTTTCATCGTCTAGTGATTTTTTTTTTTTTTTGAAACAAGACATGATTTTACGTTATTTTCACAATAAAAATAAGACTCGAGGTACTTACGCGTATATTCGAGTGTCTCCCGAAAGCGTGTTCCATTTTCCGTTTTAATCCGCCATGTTCTCAGAAACTCAATTAATGGTAGGAAGTGGATTTAAAACGCTTAAAAATTTTGGTAGGCCCAAAAAGCAGAAGATAGCACATGCCACGAAGGCGGAGCTATATAAAAAGAGGTAAAAAACTACTTTTGATATACGCTGTTTTTACGGTCCTTATCAATCTTATGTTTTAGGACACGATGTGAGCCCGTGGTTTACCGTATGCGCTATTATTACTTTTAAAAGTAATTAAAGCCCACCGAGCGAGTCTCCTTGATGGATTGCCCGTCGGCAGATGGTCACCAATTTATTTACGAGACACGTTTCCCTATTATCTACAACCGCAACCGAAACGGTTTATAATAAAAATTAAAAAAAAAAAAAAAATAGTAAATATTACATACAAAAAAAAAAAAACAATAATCGACAATAATTTGCTGTGGGTTTTTTTCCATTCAAGTTTGGATGTATTCAATTTCACGGCACATCTAAACTCTTCACGGCCTGCTCACGCGTGGTTAAACACCAATTCCATCATCGATGGTGTGGTGAGATCGATATCAGATGCTTCGAAACTTATGAAATCGAAAGGATGAATAAAAAAAAAAAAATGCCAGTAAATTTGATAGAATGACTATAGTGATGTGTTGGGATGTGATGTTAAACGTAAGTAATATTGTATTTTGATGTAGGTACCCACCTAAAAGCTACTTAAAAATGAATAAACGCACGTAAGCACTGAGTATATAGATTTATTTTTACATCTCAAAAATGAGAACATTAGGTTTTATAATAATAATACAAATTTAAGTTAACCTGGCTTACAAAAGTTTATTGTTAACATGACCGTTTATTTGAAACAGATTAATAGAGTTTTTTTTTTTTTTTTAATTTCATTTAAAATGCACTTTTTTTCATTTTTATTTTTTGTTATTATCAGAGAAATATTGTATCCCATTCGTTTAAGGTACCGTTATAAGTTCTCAGAAATGTTAAATGCGTTATTTTAGAGAATGAGAACGGAGCCGGTTTAAATAATTTAAAATAAAATAATATAATTATTATAATAAAATAAACTATAAACAAATAACTATATTTATTTTTATGCTTATTAGAATAATTAATATAATATAATATTTTTGTTTAACTTATGTACATTTAAATGAAATGTATGTATGCAATTTTAATATATATTAAATATAAAAATTAGTACATACTCTTAAAGTGTAGGCACCTAGTTTAGAATACAAAATACATATTTTATAGTTTACAAAAAGGAAAATAACGTTTTATAAATCAACTTTTATTTGGATACTACATTAGTATTAATATATTTTTATTTTAGATTTATGTATTTTAATACAACTGTACGCATAAGTATTCTTATTTTATATTTACTTATTTTAACACGAATAATTTTGATTCAATAACGATGGTAATTTTAATTTTTACGGTGTAGTTTTAAACATTAATTCGTATTTTGTTCGTGTTATTTTAATTTTATGCGTATCATTACACGCGTTTTCATTGATTTTTCTTTATAAACTGGATAATATTAAAATTAATTAATTTAGTATATCATCATTTGGTACAATAGTGCATCATCATAGTATTTATTAAATATGATTAATACTAGTTACGTAAAGGTGTATAAAAACTACGCATTTAACAATACTTGAATTTATGAATTATCATAGAAAATATTTAATATCTTGTGAAAACAGTCATTTATTGGCGTGCAATCGTAATATGAAAAGGACGTTTTTAAAGACTAAATATTATCTTTGAAGAGGTGAATACAAAATATGTTCGTATTTTCTGTACTGTGAAAACAATTGTGATAAAATGCTAACAACGTAATAAAAAAAAAAACCGACACGTTTATTTTATTTAATGTCGTCCCTTTGAAGTAAGTCGAGGGGTTTCACCGAAAGCACAATATAGAGACGTCAAAAGGCACACTTTCAGGTTTCTCTCTCTTTCGCGACAAAGACAAACACAACGTGTTACAATAATTAGCAATTATGATTTTTGTTTCCATTTTATAATATACTCACATGGGTAGGTGTTTTAAAGGAAATACCGTTTTGTTTTGTTTTCTGACTATAGCTAAAGTAAACGAAATTCGCTATATTATTGTCATCATAATATAATTCACCTATCTTTATAATAATTATATTTAACATTAGTATACACGCGTGCTATAGGTACAGTATATAATACTCATAACACGCATATTATATAATATTATCAATAAACCGGGAATAGTAAATATATTCCATTTAGCGTTGATAATATAATATATAATATGTATACGGCGACACTGGCGTGGACACGAGCTTATGGTTCCAGTCAAATTAGCCGGTTTTACGTTATTTAGCGACCGCCCGAAAGAGCTCATAATATCAGAGGTTTGGTAAGATTGATGATGTCTCAGATGATCATCGTTTCCTTGTTAATGCCTTTGACCTCGAATAGCAAAAATGAACGAGAGAGGAAGAGAAACAGCCACTAATATTGGAGCATGACATACGAAGAGAATGAGAGAGACAGAGAGTAAAAGAGAGATATTATATAGCGTGAAAAAGTATGCGAGAGGGAGAGGACGAGAAAAAGAAAGAGTGGATTCTTCTCCACCCCTTGCCATACAATTTTGCCGGGCAGAAAGTAGAAAAAACCGACCGACACCCGTTACTTAACGGATTATGATATTACCCTTCTCTACCACCTCTCTATATATTATGTCCTCAAAATATAACGTAAAATAAAAATATAACGAAAAAAAAAGTATACAAATTATTGGTTTTTGTTATGCGAAAACCCTTCGCATTATAGAGTGTAACGAAGATTCATGTTGTTTTAATTTAATTTGTTTTCTTTTTATAGTTGCAGGTAGTGCGATGAAAAAAAAAGTCGACGAACAATCGAAAACTTATTTTGAAAATGTACCGCAAAACGTGTTCGCGTCTGCGGGCCAAAACGTCTTATTGCCGTGTCGGGTGAGACATTTAAACGATCAAGTGGTAAGTACTCGCTTAATGTATCATATACCATAAACTTAATATTATATGTAATACAATATATAACTTATAACAATTTTTAAGTACAGTTATTAAACACTGAATTACTGAATTCTGCTGATTTTTTAAACCGATAAATTTTGCTATGTATAATATATAATATAGTATGTTTAACGGACAAACTTTTAAATTTTGTACCTATCTATTATATTATATTGTTGTTTAAACGAATGATAATTGTTTAAGGAAGCCGTTGACATAGATTTTATAAAGAATATATTATGATAATATGTCAAAATCGTTGATTTTTTAAAAACAATTTACTTGGGTTATAAATAATATTATTTTGTTCGATTTATTTGGACAATTATTATTACCTATTATTACTATGGATTTATCCATTTCTTAAATTACCTATATTTTGTAATCACCATATTTTACTTTAAAAATTAAAATTATGGATAAATTATTATACTCGTTGCATGTTTTCATTTTGCACATTTAAAAGTATTGCGATATCTAAATGATTGCCCTAGTTTGAACAGTACAATAATAAGTGTCTGCTCTTATAATAGTGACGATGGGTCCATGACGATTGAGTTTAGAAATTTGAAGAGTATAAATAAACGTGAAAACTGAGAACAGGCCACTTTTACTATAAAATATTTACAGATTATATCGTATTGTACATACTTATACAATGACGACCATTAAGCCTGAATAAAATGGACTATACTAATGGCGGAAAACAATTATTGGACTATAGTAGTGTTTAAAAGGGTTTTCTGAATTTAAGAGGTTTGAAGTGAACTCTAAAGGAACAGTGAGAAGTAAAGTGTACAAATAAATAGTATACCTGTTTTAAAATTTGTGGTTTTGGATATCACTGGATCTTTTATAGGAAACTCGTCGAGTACTAATTGACGTATTTAAATTCGGTAGTGTCATTTAGAATACAAAAGATATCATCTACCAAATGAAAGTAAACCATGTTGTTGATTGAAAAATTAAGTAAAGTGATTTTATATATGCAGATTTTTACTTTATTTGAAATAAAGTTTTAGGTAAACATAAATTATTCATCTAAAATTTAAACATTTAATATGCTTTTTTCATTTGTGTATACATATTATTAAAATATACTTTTATTAATTACTATATTCAATTTTATTTAGAACACATAACAACTATTAATAACTAATTAATGTTGTAGAAATTATCAGTTTGACGAACTTTATTTTTGGACACATTTAGGTAACTTTAATTAGGTAAATTATTTATGCTACAATATTGTATAAAATCAATAGTATTTGGAATTAAAAACCTGGAGCTTGATACTGACTTTCCAAATTTAACATTTATTTTTAACATTAACCACCTTATTAAAGATAAAACTTTTCCACTAATCTACTGTCCAATACCAATTTAGTTCATACAAACAAAAATGACTTCACGGGAATAGAAATTACTCATTGTCAATATAATATTTCCAAGCTATTTTCTTTTTTAAATCGAAAAACACTAACATTCTACAGAACGTATTGATTGACGATGTTTTTATTTGATTTCAAATAATGGTATAACAAAAGTTAGAAATTTACCTTTTTGTAAAGACATATTATTAAGTTTGATATGAAAATATTGAAAAACATCTCGTAGAAAGTTATCTTCTTTCCAACAAAAAGCACTCATAGAAATCTACACAGACAACTCTACGTGGTATCAGAGTGTTTCCTGTAAGGTATGCTTTTAGCCAACGAATATGCTGGAACTCGGCCCCTTATTAATATAGATACTTATTTTCTATTTTTGCGTTATGTTTAAGATTTATCTACCAAGTTTGTGTTGTTTATGGAATTAGATTATTATTGTAAAAATCGATTTATATACCTAATTAATTATAATTAATAGTAGATAGATACCTAAACAAATTCCATAGATATACATATCAAATTTTATGGGTACTAGAATATTATTTATTCAAGATATTTAATTTTTTTAAATTGTTAATTGATTTTTAGTTTTAATTATACTTCATGAGTTTAGTGACAAATTAATTTTTGTAACAAAGAAGTATTTGTTTGATATTAACAATAGAATAATGATAAATTTGATTAATAACCTAATTTAATTTTAATCTAATTTGTTCTATATTATCGCAGTTTGATAGTGAAATATTGAGTTTTTAGAATTAAAAAGAAAAAAAGAACTCACTATTATAGGGTATTGTTTTGAGTGAATGATAAGAATATAAACCATAAGTATGTAATCATTATTTAAAATTGGGTGTAAAAAACCATTTATGGTGAATCTATTTTTGATCTAAATTTTGAATTTCGTCTCATAGTATTTTTGAAGTCATCGTTGCAATGAGATGAACCATTCTAAAATACATTTATTGATACCATCATCTATATTATTTTTAGTGTTCCAAAATTTTTTTACGACATTCGAAAAGGATGAAAAAAAAGGTCAAAACATGTCTAAAGGAATAATTTTAAAAAAACATCTCAAAAAAAAAATCTCTGACTAATGTTATTATTATTATACATATAATATTAAAATTTTATAATTGAGTATATGTAATAAAATTTAAATTAAATCAAATTTGTCTTAAATAAATAATTGCCATCAAGATTTGTTAAAATTATTTTCCCTAAAAACTCGAGGAAATTTAGGAATTTATTATTAAATACATAAATATTATATTAAATACCTGTTCTTTTTAAATAAATTATAAATTTCCAATTTGTAACATGATTTATTAAAAGTACATTATTGAATACATCGTGTCAACCCTCAACTGCATTATTGGTCCGTAGTTGATATTTGAGTATTGAATTATAACAGTTCCAAATGCAAAAATCAAACAGTGAGAAACGTTTCTGATTGATAGTCGGCCAATTCATGCTTCTTAAAAATAATTGATTGTTGTAGATGGAAGTTTATCATTTTCCATAATACGCTCTTTACGCTCTTTACCATTTTCCAACTCAATAACATTAATTATTGGAATAAACGATAAAGTACTCCACTATGTTACTTACAGATAATATTCAACGTCATCATCATTACCCCCAGAATTTGAATTTTACGTGAGTAAAATTGTTAACAATTTAAAAAAAACAATCTTTAATGTCGGTTGTGGGAAATACATCTTTAAATGGAGATATGAAGTCCATTTCAAAATTAATCATAATTTGCTGCAGTGTCAAATCGGAAACTAAAGATTTTAACGCTTTTAGAACAATTTACCAATAAAATGGACAGAAGGAAAACTTTGTTTATTTTTATATGACATATAGTGTAGAGTTGTGAAAATAATGTTGATACAGAATGGAATGTTGGAATCTTAGAATGCATGGGAGATATTTTGTTTAAGAGATATTTCCATCAGAGATATTTTTGCGAAGATATTTTGACCTGAAAACCTGAAGCCATATATACACTAACTATATATTAACTAGAGTCTTTTAGAGTCAATAACATTTTTAGAAAAAGTAAAGTTTATACTAGGTGATGGAAATACATTTACGAAAAAAATAAATATATAACATGTATCTACCTACCTACTTACACAGAAATGTGGTCAATGAAAAATATAACCTTTGATGTCAAATATACGTAAATAACAAAGTCTTAGACATTATTATATAAAGTTATGTACTTTCATACAAATAGTATGCGCATAATAATTTGGAGGAACAAAGACAACATATTCTTGGATCATGTAATATGTCATTATGTAAAACTTATATATATTTTGTGAGTAAACCACAATTATTTTAAACTCTAAAATCGATAATCACTTTAGATGTGTTATGAAAAATATAAATAACGACATGTATACAATTTATTACAATTAAATATTTACCAATTGTAAAAAATGAAAAATGTTTATAGTTGATTAAAATAATATGTAATGTATATTATACATAAAGTGCACTTTTTTTAAAACGATTGAGAGTGCAGTATAAAATATATATTCGAAATTCAATTTTTAATTTTTAAATACCAAATTCATAACTGATGCGATTAAAGGAAAATAAATATAGTATATGAACTAAAAAGTATTTACTAATAGAGTTAAAATCATCTAAAAGTCTATCGATGCATAAATGCATTGTGTATTTGCTTGAATACTTCATACTCGCATTTGCTGTCTCAATCCAACTAACGAGAAATATAGCAAAATCTGCATTACGAAGATTATTTTGAACTCGTTTAATTTTGGTTTTAGAGTAAAATCACCAATTATAAAATTAAAAGAGGGCATATTCTGGATACCAAGACGATTCGGCGTTTCTATTATTATAATTATTATTCCGAATATAGCGTTAAATTCATCATTTTTAAACAACTGTAATATTTCAAAAAATAAACGCATCGTCTTGCCCTGCGGAATATTGTCCTCTTTTAATTTCATTATAGATGCTTTTATCTCAAATGAATATTAAGCGAGTTCTACGCGTAGTCTGCGTAAGGTAGAATTTGCTAGATTGCCCGTTAGTTGATCCAAGATAGCATATGTGGGTTTAACGTCTTCTTAAAACATATTGAATTTATTATTCATCGTATAAATTTAAACAAGCATTTAAAAAAATACTCTTTGTAAATAACATCCAGTTAAATCATTTGTGTTAAACGTGGTTATGGATGAAATTTGCAGAGATAATTTTTTGCTCAGTTTTTAGTGAATAAGAGAGAATGCATTACTTTCAAAAAATAATAGATTTTTTGCTATAGCTGCTAAATATTTTATGTGTAACACCGGTTTATTTTGTTTAATCTCAAATATTTTATAACTCACCTTTAATAATATTACCCTGTAACTATATCGTATTATTTATACAAAATAATAATATGTATAAAGTTATATATAATTTAGTTTCATAAGGAATAATGTTTTATTATTAATAATATTAATATTGATTACTGAATATATTTTTATAATTTGATTGATTAAATCTTCAAAACCATAAAATATGATATTTTCTGTTACTGAACTGTAGATACCTAATCGAGCTTTTGTGTTATTTTTTTTTTATTAATCTTAGTACAATGTCATTTAATATGTTTAAAATGTAAATAAATATAATATTGAATGACATATTCATAACAATAATTATGTATACAAATTTACATAGAAACATCTGTGTACATGTGAGATCATTTGTGTACATTATATATATAAATGAAAAAATACAACTTTTATCACGATAACTTTTACTTAAACTTATCTTAAGACGATATATTAATGGTATAGTGTAAGCTCGTCAAACATGTATTCCCCTCGAGATTTGTTACATTTGATAGAGCTTTCTTCATATACTTCATAATTTTGTACATTATGTCGTATAACCTTTTCGGGGAAACTTTTAAACTCCTACATGACATAAAAAAACTTTTTTTTGGAAAAGGGTTCATCCGTATTATCGAACGATAAAGCGTCAGGATGAACTATATAATGTATGTAAGTGGACACTAATTAGTTTTTATTTGTAATGTTTGTATTTTAACGATATTAAATATTATCTGGTATTAAAATAAAAGTTACCCACTAAGAAAACTTTAGAAATCTAGTTCAAAACGTTTAAAAATTGAAATTAATGTAATATAAAATTCATGTTTTAGTATTTGAAACACATGTTTAATAAACATTAATCAACATGTTTTATAAACATTGTTTATATTCTATTTGTACAATCTGAACTCGTACTGTTTAATTTGAAACAAACCTATTAATCAGTGGTGGAGCTTGGATAGGATTTATCAAGGGGATGGAGGAGAATCATACCAAAATTACATGTTTGTCTGTTAACATTAATTTCTTTTGATGGGTGGTCATTAGGCTAAGAATTGAACAGAAATATATTAAAAATGAATATTTAGTTCAAATTATTTCTTGCCTATGTATTTTAAACGGGATGAACTGTAATAACGATTTGTTTTGAACCGTTCGTAATTCTTATCACATTTTCGTTATCAGACTGTTTGTCTATATAACATGTAGGCATTTGACGGGTACCTGTAAAAATCTGGAACGTATAATTCATGAAAATATAAATCTTGAAAGTACAAATCTTGAATCCAGGGTTTTATGGTTATCGAAATTTGAACCGTACAAATTTGGAATGTAAAATTCTGGAATGTATAAATCTTGAAAAATAATTGTCTAATAATCCAGTGTCACCATCTACGAATAAAAAAAAAATCTGAATTTGTATATACAATTATATATATATCCTATTTTTGCAAATTCTGCCTATGCACTTAATAATAACACCTAATAATTATTTTATTAAAAAAAAGATATGGTAGCTGTTTTCTGACACTGATAAGAACTTTTAGGAAGTTAATGTCCCAAGCGTAATTAAGGTAGGGTTAATATGTATTTCTTTTTCTAACAATTTTTTAGAAGAATGGCTTTTGGTCGCGGATATATATGTTTTTGTCCAAAAGTTGGTAACACTGGAGTAATACAAAATTATTTTTCAAGATTTGTACTTTTCAGATTTGTATTTTCAAGATATGTACGTTCCAGATTTGTACATTTCAGACTTTTACGCGCTCCCGCATTTGACGATGTTAGGTTTCGATGTCGGTGACTTGTTGTCTTTGTCGTTCGCGTGGTGTTTTTTTTTTCGTGATTTTGATTCACCGGCCATCGGTCGCGGTGGTGGAAGCAACTTTTAGAACACTCGAGAATTCATCATTGTCATATATCGCATATCGTATCGTATCGTATCTATTATAATAATATTATAATCGTGTGTACGAGTGATTGCTGTGACGGCAGTGGTACGGATTTAATGAGCGACTCGCACGCACAGTCATCATAAGTGAAAGGCGTCATTATTATAATACCTCATAGCGCCAGAGGTTTAAAAACAGTATTAATGGTGTACATTTATAGTAGCAGTAGCACAGTGTATGGGTATAGTAGCATAGTCTGTGGTAGAACGCGGTATAAGCTGGTAAGTATCGACAATGGCTGGGGGAGTAGTGGTGTTGATTTTCCAAAGAACAACACGTACACGCGGGCTATTCAGCTAGGTATCATCGGGTAGTTACGGGTGGATGAAGGGGTGCAAGTTACCGACGTTACCGTAAAACTGTTTGTGTCAGTGGTGGCTGTGATGAGAGAATGAGATATGCTCGCGGGGAGACTCGTGGCGGTCATTAGAGAGCGGGTATGCTGACGTTATGAATAATCCGCGAGCATAGCAGACACAAAGGAAGGTCGGAAATGACACACATACACGAGCTCTCGTTAACACACACACTTCTATACCAAAGCACTTTTTACCCGAGAGAGAACTCTGCGTCACCCGCTTCTATAACTACCTACCCGCCGAAACTGATCTATGATTACGCATTCGTCCGACTCCTATCCTCTGTCTTGCACCACCACCCATCCTGTGCGGTTGTGCACCTGTGTCGTTGTTTCCGGCCCGTTTCGGTATCCGTGATAAGACTACACCAGTTCATCGCCAGGGAATGTTTTCTTGTTTTTAAATTTTTTTTCCCGATAAAATCCTTCGACTGACGACGCTCTCCACTTTTCCGCACGTTTAACTTACATTTTAAGAGATAAATATTAATAAGTAGTTAATTAGTAATTAATTATTACTTACACACGCCTCCGGGCACTTACTGCGTAGTTTGAAAATTAAACTCATTTACATATTACAAGATGTTTTTTTAACCCCATGAGTCGATATTATACAAAAATAGACTTTGTTTTATTTTTCAATATCTTTAATAGAATATATTATGAAAACTGCCTTCTAATTTAGTACGACGAACGATTTTTATTCAATTGATTATGCATTTTTTTTTTTGGTCATTTACTAGATTCCGAGGTGTATTGCTTTAGTTTTAACATTTTTTTTGGATCCTTATTTGTTTATTTTTTCATTGTTATATTTTAATTTTAAATTTGTATAAGATAATTATTATTTTGAAAACAATCCAGATAAGTAAGTAAATAGTAATGTACACGGATAATAATATTATCATTATTATATACATTAAAATGTACTAAAAATAAGTCAAAAAGTACCTACATTTAGATTAGAATGTCTATAACTATAATGTAATTCATAGTATTTTAAACTGCTATATTATTAATGAAATCTCCAGTACGCATCCAGAAGATTTATATTTTGTAAATCATTATAATTTTAAATGAGAAGATAAGCTATACTATTATGTTGATTCTTCGAGATTTCGTGTTAAGTAATAATATTCGAATTTAACCATTGATCCTAAGTAAATTGGAAAATATTTTATAGGTATTAATTATTTAGTTTTAAGTCTAAGGCAAGTACTGTAATCTCAGTTTTGCAGTAGAGTCATAATTTTGGTCCTCACACGAACTTGTTCAGTGGGGCCCATTATCTTTTTGAAGAAATAATAATAACAATATAATTTTTAAAAAAAGAATAATATTTGTGAAAACTCCCAAAAACTACATTAGTATAGATATTTATATTAATATCAATTATTTTATAAAGTACTTGTATCAAATTTAAAATTTAAAAAAATTAGATTTTATTAATACTGTTTATCTGTTGTACAGTCAAGGTTTTTTAGTGAAGGGGGAGGGGAAGCAGAAAAACTGAGAAAATATTGCGGGTATTTTTTATATGGTCGTATGCTCCTCATCTCTCGTCTTCTCGTTGAAGTTTAAAACCATACACTATATACACCATAATAAAGACTAAAGTAACATAAACATGACATGATTATGATAAAAAATACGGACAATAAGCGGAGGCATAGTCCCTTTAGCTTCCTCTGACTGCGGCACTACAGTGCTAGGAATTTATAATTAGTTGAATAATCGCTTTTAATTTTATGTAAGTTATGCATTACATATTTACGTATAAAACAAAACTTTATTTTGAAATAAAACTCAAATTTTAGAATTGTTATATTTACGTACATAATTACGTGTATTCAAATAAGAGAGTAATTTTAAAATACTGATGTGAATATAAGTTCTTTAATGTTAGTACTTTAAGTGATGTTCTTGCAGAACAATTTTATTTGTTTTAAGAATCTTGTAAATTGTAGCTCAAATATTCTATAAGGTTATAAACTTTTTAAGGCAAATGTGATTTATTCATTAATACAATGTCATCCAAGTTTCAAAAGTTTTTCACGAGATGAATCAGTAGCACTTTTTAATTTAAAATTACTACTATACATCTCTCATATACTCGTTCATTCAACATATTTACTGTTGTGTGACGTTTACAACGTATTCTGCTGTCTGTAAAACCGAATAATTTATCAAGAAAAATACGGCCAATTTATAATACTTTTGATATGCGTATGTGCGTAGAACTTTGAGTTATATATTATGCTAAACATTCCAAGTTTAAATCAAATTAGAATTTCGATAAAAACGAAAGCTCACGTAAATCCGAATTCCCTTCAGTCATAAAAACTTTACAACTTTCTTATTAATTGGTTTATGCTTCGCGCGTTATATGACAAATGTGAGTATAGATAATGCGGATATATTGTAATGTAGTGCACCTACTTACTTTATGACTTCCGATAACGCAAGTATAATATGTATTTTGATTTATGCGAAATCTTTAATCTAAAATATGATAATAACGGTATTGTGCATAATATTATATGTATAATGTATACGTAATTAATCAAATTAGTTATTATATAAAAAAGTTTTTCTCAAACGTCTTTATGTAGCACGGTCGCGTTGTGTGCGTATAAGTATTGAGTATAGATAGGTAATTTCTAGTAGTTTTATTTAAGAGAGATTTCCTACTTTTTTCTCCCATTTTTATTTATAGGTATTAAAGTATAACGTGCAGTATCATCAATTGGTTACGGAGGTCATATGATGACATATAGGTATTTTCTACGGTCATGATATCCGTCAACGATCATCCGTTAACAACCTTGTAAAGTGTATAAAATATTATAAATAAAATCTAATCTATAGTATAAGGTAAATAATATTTTATTTTAATATTTTTCATACAAAATCCAAGCGTAGTTTGATTCTTATTAAACATTTTTATTTAAAGTTGGCGCATAATGGTTATTATTTGATTTTCTCTGTAGTTTTCTTATAATTATAAAAACCGAGCAAACTAAGGAAAAACGTGAAAATTAACAAGTAATAATGGTTTAATTATTTTCGGTTTTTGATTTTTTTTTTTTTTTATTTGTTTGAAAATACCGTAGAGACCCGACATTTTCATACAATACTTATATAGACGTAGTAAAATGTTCGAGTTGTTTTAGTATTTATTTGATAGGTATTATAATATGTAGGTATGATTGTTTGATTAAACAAAAATGCATGAAAATTTAATGTGAAGTTTATTATAAGTTGTTCTTTGGGACAAAAAGATTGAGCGTAATGTAGTAGTTTTTTTTATAAGCATTTTAAGTTTAGTTTTTGACAAAACTCGTGAAAAGCATATTTCAAAATATGTATAATCGAACATCGCTCATAATCGTTTTTCGTTAGCAATGATTTATCGTTGCGTGCAGATATAAGTTAAATAATACTCTATGTATCCTACCTTTCTTATTTCCCACCTACAACTGTATACCCGTCAGCAGTATCAGTTTTTTTTTTTAAAAATTCTAATTGTGGGTTAACTTGAGTATAAGGAAATTATATTCAAATAGAATCGTTTAAATTTTTGTTTCAGTATACACAATCTAAATCATTGTATTAGTAGGATTCACTAGAATTATTCCATATTCTATATCTTTTAAACTTCCCTCCTAAAACAGCGGTCCCCACCCATGTTGCGAAGTATACGTCCGTCTTTTTTGTTTAAATCGTTATTTTACAGGTTAAATAGGTTAAATGTAAATTTGTTGATTTTAAATCTTTAGAACCGTCGTAAAACTTAATATGTTAGAACGACAATACGATAGAACTGTGTAGTAGTTTTACCCGTTTATAAAAACAACAAATTATATAAGATATAGCTATAAATTATGTCCTAAGATATAGAACTTCTCGTCTGTTTCAGTAAATATAATATTTTTAGCGACCTCGGAAAGACAATATAAAAACTCAATCCGATCACCCGCCGGGTTCCAGCTCATGTTCTGTTTTCTCGTTAAACGAATTTTAATTTTTCTAGCGATCCGTTATTGTTTTTTTTTTTTTTTTTAATTTATAGACTCTTTACACTTAAAAACGTTAAAATGAATAATTTTACATTTCTAAATAAATATGTTCTGTATTTGGTGTGACTAAAATTAGAAAAAAACGGTATTCAGTAAATAATACATATTTCATAAATATTATCATTAATGTCGTTATAATCATTAATTATTATCATTAATTCGGTATAAAATACTGACTGTTGTCTGATAATATTGTTAATCGAAGCAAGTATTTGATTAGGTAATAAAAAAAATTTATTGTGAATTTGGTCGTCCAATGTATTAGATGATCTTTATAACCAAAAGTTATTACGACTAAACAGAATATTATATAATTATTTTTTTTTTACATTCATTTGAACCGTTGATGAGGTTTCTAATTATTTTCTCCATTCACATAGGAGCTGCAGCTTACCAGGTCTTGTGGAACTAGTCTTTAAAAACGGTCGAATCCATTTAACGCATTTGAAGAGACACTTTAATCTGCACTCGAATGACTACACTTTAATATACGTATCATCTCAAACGTAGGTAATCAACTGTAAAACTGATACCAACTCATTTGGATATAAAATTTGTTCAGTATAAAAACTAATATACGTTAAAATTCGAAATTTTCCAATTTGTTCAGACGTTTTATTTTTAAATATTTAGCACGCATTTTGTATACACTTGCACGATACAATTAAGAATCGGTACGATAAGTACGTATTGTTTCTGGAGCTGATACTGTTGACAGGTGAGGCATATACATAAAGTTATTGAATTTATGTCTGAATGCAATGATGAATCATGTGCTAATAGAAAATGAGTCTGACAGAAATTCGGTTAAATATGTTTTGAAATGTCATGATTTCTACAATTCACGTCTAAATTTGCACATAAATTCTTTTTAAAATAAATCTACTAGGTTAAACTCAACTAACGTTTTTCGTTACGGAGCATAAATTATGAGGAATATCTTGTGATAAATTAGCAAGCATTTCTGTTAGCCAAGAAAATTGTATCCACATAAATCTAAATAGAATTTTTTTGAAAAAGCTGAACAGTTTAAAATTCCTAAATAAATATCTCAAAAATCATCGGAATGTTTTGAAAATTTTACCACGTGTCTAGAAATAACTAATATAAGAAGCATTCTATGAAAATGTCAGTTCTCTAAGATTATTTTTAACCGAATTACAAGAAAAAGAAAAAACCAAAAATAAAGAAATTGTTATTGCCGTAAATTTTCCCTTTTTCCCAATTATTAAGAAAACTACAAGGATAAACAAAAATGACATTGATATATCAACTAAACAATATGCTTTACTTGAAAATCGATGGGCAAGATTTTTGGTAGAAAAAAGAACAAAATCTAAATCTAAAAAACAAAGTATACATTTACTTTATTCCCCTTGTTTTATGTTATTAATTATAAATTATTTTATATTCTTACGTGACCATGTTTATATTATATTTATTTTAGGAAGAGTACGTAAAAATCGTATCTATTAGGTTAAACATAACATGTTTCAGTTCGTTTCTTTCGTTTTATGCATGGACAAGCTTTCCTTGAGAGATGGGATATAAAAAATATAATTTTCATTGGTTTTTTATATTTTTTTAATAATATTGTAACTTGATAATATAATTAAATATGAAAGATAAAATTTATGATAATATACAAATAATTTAGTTTAAACTGTTGGTTTTAATAGAGATTCATGGGGAAAAGACGAGATATAAAATATTATATTCGACCGGCGACGACGTTATAATATTATTGATAATAATTCACTGTCTTTGCTTTAAAATTACTACTGTAAAATAATATAAGGGTTTTTTTTTTTATACGTTAGGTATTTGTTATATTTTCAAATCTTTTACATTTGTATACTATATTTTACTATACATTTACCTATTATAATACGAGTATGTAGATATAGTTTTGTCTGTCTGTGGTCGTAAAACTTATACGGAACTGTTTCTCATTAAATAAAAGAATTGTTTTAGTAATTTGCGTGTCCAGATATTTGTTAGATAGATTTTTTTCATACGAAAAAAAAATATTATGTTTTAAGATAATATATAAAAGCAACGAAATATTTAAAACGAATTCGCTACGGCGCGGTATAGGTACCAGCGAGATTCAGATTTCACAGAACTCGTGTAATAAAAACTTCCTGTAGTTCATAAAATACACATAAAAATACAAGTTCTTTTTCTTTCTGAGATTTAAATTACACAGCCTTTAATGTATGTAGATATATCTTACCAAGGTATTAAGGTATCTATACTGAAAAAATATTGAAAAAATATTTATTTAAAAAAAAAATACTGAAGTACTTAATTAATATTCATAACGTAGGATATATATATATAATTTTCTTTTTACGAAAAAAATTATTTCTATACCTATACTTACTTATAATTTATTTTTAACATAGATAAGTTAATAATTATTATATTATAATCAGTGATATACATAATAAAACTGAAATATTTATTTGTACGTGTAATATGTGTAGGTAGTAGGTACCTAATGTATATTATGTATAATAAAGAGTTCTGAGCATACGTAACTAAAGTAGACTATAATTGAAATAGTGCATTGTAACACAAAATATCTGGTAAGTTCTATTGTTTAGTTATATTGTAATTAGATAAAAGTGTAATATTTGAAATCGAGCATAGGATGTAAACATTTTTTAGGGGATTACTTCTGTAACTATTCCAGTTTTGGTCTTTAGTCCAGATTTCAGCCCTTCTCAAATGTCAAACGCTAGTTGTGCCTATATATAATAGAGGTTTATGGAGTGTAACAGGACTATTTAAAATTTTTACATTGTAGTTGCAAGTAAAAATATCAATTAGACCAGTTACACCTTGTATATTAGAAAAGTACTTAATCTACAATAAGTGTAATATCTTGACTAAATTAGAAATACAATGGTTGTGTGTTATTTGTATAGTGAACCATTTCAGACTGAGAAAAACATTTTGCTTAATCAGAAATCTTTGGGCTCGTTAGGTTTGAATTCGAATTGTTGGTTCTAATTTTACCTGTCAGTCATCAATGTCTTCAACAGTCACAAATCATAATTACAATTAGTATACACCTACTTTCTCTCATACTTAAATAGTTACATCTTATAAACAAGGCTGTCGTTTAGCTTTGCAGGTAAAGGTGAAATGTAAAATTGTTCGGATTGAAAAATATATACAAAACTTATAAAAAACAAATTTTAAAAGAAAATATTCCGCCCGGTGGTCCTTTACTTGAAATGTTTTTTTGAAATTCTCAATAGTTCACCCCCTTAGATTCAATTTATTTTTTCTGGAGAAATACTTTGTCGATTCGTAAAAACCATTTTTTTTAAACATTAAAAACGAAAATGGACAAAAATGATTTCTGAACTACTCTCTAGTCTTTAATGCTCCAAATCGATTTTCGACTGCAATAATTTATCGATGCATTGACATTTCAGTATGAGCATGCATTATAAATTAAATTACCCTATAATTTCTCTTATTCCTTTTCAACTCGCCAGCTACAACAAATGGTCTACCCACGGTCCGAATTTTAATGTCTGGCTTTTCATAATATTTTGTTTTTATAATTTATTTAGAAAAATCACTCGTTTGAAACTTTCAAATAATACTTGTCTAAAATCCTTTACATATTATCACTTGTACGTTTGGCGGAAGAAAGTTATCGAACTGTAGTTATATACGAGTATAAAATAAATACTCGTACGGCCAATCCGCAGAAGAATGCCAGTGTCAACATAAATCGTATAAAAACTATAAACTCCCGAGTACAAATATCGCGTTGTTATTATATACAGTGAACTCCGGAATCGTATATATCCGAGTTGTGAGTGCACGATGATAATATTATATCGGGGAAAGATCGCAAATTATTTTACAACCAAAAGTATAGTTTCGGACGGACAATAGTAATCCTAATACTAATAATATAACATTATTGTTATTATTATGAATCACTCAAGGGATTATTATAAAGTGCATATAATAATAATAATAGTATTTCTACAATACTGTAAAGATTTTTAAAAATTTAAGCGTTCGGGACGTAAACGTTTTTAATGGTCGAAAAACAACTGACAGCGTACCAATATTGTGGTTTAGTTTCGTTGAAAAACTGAAATGAATGAAATAATTTGAAGACAAAAAAAACCGTATTTACGCCACTGTTAACGGCAATGTGGAACTAGCGATGCATATTTTAAATTAATAAAATATATACGAGTATATGAAAAAAATGCCTACGTTTTCTGCACAAAGAATACATTTAATTGTCAGGCCGGCCAGGGAGAAGTGATTGGTAAAAAAAATATTTTCGAATTAGAATATTTAGAAGCTCGTGATAATAGTGCAGGCCGTATATACAATAAACACCAAGATTGGGTAAATTAATTAATACTATTAACTCAGTTGATTGAAAAAAAAGTTAACGAATTGAATCCTACTTTAAAAGTTAATTAATTTTTTTATCGTAGTTAAATATTAAGTTAACAAAGTTAATTTGAAAATTGAAATGACCTATTAAATTAATTTGAGTTTATTATAAAATTGTTATTGTCTTATTACCTAAATATCGACTTTGTGATTTTTGAAAAAATAAGGAAAATCAATATTAAACACAGGGAGTATATTTCAAAAATATACTTATACCTATTATACTTATTTAAATTCGAAACTTGAAAAAAAAAATAAGTACACGTTTGTTATTTCTATTCAAATAGTGTATAGATTTTAAATTTAATATTGTGTGAACATTTAAACAAATTTAAATTAACTTAACACAGCGTGTTTGCTTATTGTATAATTTAAAACAACTCATTATTTGTTAAGTTGATAGAAAAAAAAAAACAGTTAATTTTATATTGATTAAAAAGTTAAAATTTACTTACATTACCTACATAATAGGTAATATCTTCTTAATCGCTATTTATTAACTCTAGGAGTAAATACGAAATATACCGATAATTTTGTAATAATTTTATTATTGTTTTGTGCGCATATTTTATATTATGTACGTTGAGTTTATCCGAAATACTTTATTCGTACCTACGTTACTTGAAGACATTATTGTTTTGTCCAACACCGCCGGTACGGCGATGGAAAATCGTTTCTCGCGCGTCATAATAATAATATTCTTGAGGTGCCTACACAACGTATTATACTTACGTAACTTGTAAATCATAAAACACACTCGCGGGTAACGCTGTTGAAGGGCTCTAGAGGCTCAAACACATTATCCTCCGGTCGGATAGATTTTTCGCCAGAAACGTGACAATAGTGTTGATGATTTATTTTGCCGTGAAAAACCCCGTGTTCGGTTACCATCACATATATTATACACCTACCTACCTACCTACCTACCTACCAATAATATATTATTACGTTTTAATTGAAAACAGTCATTGGAGATTATATGATGGGCTGTGGAAATAATATTCCAACTCTCTGGTCACGCTTCTGATGGATAATTGTGTACAATATATAGTGTGTCCTGCCGTGTTTGACGGATTTTTCTAGCGCTGTTAATATTAAATTTTTGTTTTTAATCGGTTTGTCTTCGAGGGGAACATTGATTTGGAGAACAATTAAGTTTTTATTTTCGTCCCCTAATAACAAAAAAAAAAAAAAAAACTTACTTACTTTTTACTTACTCACTTAAGAAAATGTTCAAAATAGCCATTTTGTAAAAAATATTATTCTTAAAATTTTAATGTATTATACATTTATATCCGATTAATAGTTTCTTAATTATAGCCGTTTTATTTTCTAGAAAATAGGCGTGTAAACAATTAATTTTCAATTAATGCTGATTGTGTTGATTGTGATTCCTTAATTCCTTATCACATAAAGTGTTATTTTATTGAATATTAATCGTTTTCACGCGTATTTTCTAGAAATCAAAACGGCTATACCTAAGATATTATCCATCGGATATGAATGTGTGATAAATTACGATTTTTTGAATACAATTTTTTACAAAATAGCTATTTTGAAAATTTTCTAAAGTGAATAAATAAAATTTTTTTTTGTGTATAAGGGATGAAAATAAAAGTTTAATTTTTCTCTAAATCGATGCTCCACTCGAAGACAAACTGTTTGAAAAATAAAAAAAAAAAAAAATCGAAAAAAATTTAATATTAACAGCGCTAGAAAAGTCTGTCAAACACAGTGGGGCAATTGTGTATACAATAAATATATTTATATTAGGGAGAGCCAAATGAGAGAGGAAAAAAAATGTTTTCAAAATATCATGTACATATTTTTACATTTTTTCTGCTAATAAATTTGTTAATATTTATTTTCCCTTTATCTCTTTATAGGACCTAATTTGTTTCTTATTTCATTCGGATAATTTACCCTCATGTCATGTTTTGTTCAGCAAGTCTTAAAAACAAGGTTCGATGGTATTTTTACACCTGTAAAAATAAAATATATAGATAAAAAAAATTGATTTCTGGTCTACCTAAATACACATTATATTATATTTATATTTTTATCTCAACATATCTATGGCAATATCACTGTTATCAACGGGTTAATATTCTTTTGTTTATAGCAGGAGGTGGGAGAATAGGGATTTTATCCTCTCTATTGTACTAAAAATACATCAAATATGAGTATTTACTTTGTAATTTTATATTGAAATATATATATTTTAGTTGTCTAAGTACCATAAAGGAAAAAATCTTGATTTATTGAATAAAAGTTAGCATTTTTGGACCTCGAATTGTTATATCATTATCGGGTTATGTATAACAGAAGAAGAGATACTATTTTATTTACTATACTACTCTATATACTCTCCCGTTAAAAATTCTTGGACATGTTATTGTCTATGTTAATCATGTTAATGAAACAGTTATAAACTTAAAAGTAGTCAAAAGGTACTTTTAACTCCCGAAAATCCATGACACACAAGGAATGTCTTAAGTACGGAAAGAAATTTTTTAATATTTTATGGGAATTAATTGAAAATATTAGAATTAATAAATTATAGTATAGATCAATAAACTTACATGTATATCCAAATAACTCTGAAAAATGAAACTGCGCTCAGTGTCCAGATTGAATTATAAAATACGTTTGGTGCATTTGTCTGTATACTATTGAATATTTATTTTTTTTTTTTATTTTGTGACAATAATTCTCTATGTAAATAATGGTAACTTAAGTATACTTACTTATAACTAATGCTAATCCCGATTTCTATCAGAACCGCAGTTTTCCCACTCTTTCATGAACATCTTTATTTCCAGTGATTTTTTTTTAAAAAAAATGTTACTATTTATAATAATATTGTAAATATAATATGAACTTAACAAAAAAAAAAAAAAAAACATATTATTACATATTCATATTCATACATCGCTAAATTTATCGTTTGCATTAAGGGACACAGCTATTTTTGTTAAGGAGTAGAACGTTGGCAATATATATGCATACCGTACGTTTATATATAAGTAAGATAAAATGTCGTTTTGTTACTTTTACCCGTATAAAAATTCTAAATGCTTACATTTTTAACTTTTTTCTTTTTACGTAAAATTTTTGCAGTGGGCTTTACGGTCTTCGAAAAATTTATATTCTTCTATTATATCAAACAACACGTACAAAGTTGTCCTTTACACAATGAAAAATACAAATAAATCATTTAATTCAATTTTTATGAAGAACGGGTTTTATAGTATTATTTTTCGTATAATTTTATCCAATGGAGATTATATAATAATTTTTTCATATTTTTTAAAAAGTGCGCCTCCCCTTTTGAACAGAACGACTATCTAGTCACACACTACCAACTTCAAACTTATTATAAACGGTTACAATATTATATTAATAGTCCGGTCTTGTAATATTACGTTGAATAATTGGAATTGAAAATCTGTTTAGTCAGTCACACATACATCCACGCACCCGTACACGTGCGCCACCCGTCAACTTTTCTAAGTCGCCACCACTTCCGCTTCCGAATTGTTATATTATTACACCATAGCCTTTAGATACAGAATCGGTACTGGCAAAGTCGTTAAATTATTATCGCTCGTTGTCCAGGAAGGACAAGTATATCATTATAACGGCGGCAACACCAGCACAAACAGCCACCGCTGCCGTTTAAACGGTGTGTTGTACGTGGACCATTAATAAATTAACGTTTATGAAACGTGGCGGTGTCGTATGTCCTCCGAAGAGGACGAGGACGAGTGGCGTGGCATATCATGTCGACAAGAACCTCGTCGTCGTCGCAGACACAATAAACCGAACACAGGCCATGTGAGTTAGGTTGCTGGTCGTAACGCTGACGCGGCGAACACATGGCTCTCGGCTCGTTATAATAGTATAAAGTATAATAATATCACACAATCCGGCTATTATAATATTATCTACTGTAATAATTTCAGTATGATGGAAATATAACATTACAGGGCGGAAAGAAAATCACGGTTTTTTTCAAACAACCCAATAATTTATTATTCGAAATAATCAAAAATAGAGCTAATGGACATGTCATTGTTGTAGGCGGAAAGTTGGGAAGGTTGGCTACATATAAAGTTAAAGAAATACGATTCTGAAGAAGTTTAGTTAAAATATTTTGGAATGTTTGAAGTTCTGTTCTATGGTTTATTTTACTTACTAAGCGCATGGGGGAAAAACTAACCACATCTTTACTTTCTGGACGTTTACTTTCTTATTATTTTATTTTCTGAAAGTAGATATTCTAAGTTCCTACTTTTTGACAGTTTATTTTCTGAAACATTATAATAGACGTTCTTTTTTTAAAAGCAAGTAGTTTTTATTTGATTCATTGAGTACTATGATTATTTGTCCACACTGTGTAGTATACATTTAACTATACGCTTTGTAATAGGAATACAATAATAATTTGCGTGACTAATGATTAAAAAAAAAAAAAAAAAACTGCTATCGATATTTTTCATTCCACATTATACCGTATTATATATTTGGAGGTCTTTTTTTAAACATTTTTATTTATTTTTATTGCTGACATGAAATTATTTAAGACTTTTATGGGTTTTCGAGTGGACTATAAATAATAATAGACGTATTGCTGCAGTTTTGTATATACGTCGCATAAATTAACGACATCGTCGTAAATATATCGCGCGCGTATTGGGTATCCCACGAGGATTTATTATTTTAGAGTTGTGATGCCCGCGCATAATGGTGTTTACATTACTTTCGGCATCATAAAAAAAAAAAACATCAACATTTTTTCGGAGAACACCCGGTAGTTTAGATGTATTTACCTATACAGGATTATAATCAGCATTGAGGCGCAAACAACTGACAAGTAACGTTTATTTAAATGAAAGGTATTTATCCTAAATTTCAAATAAGTGGATTTTAACTAGATAAAAAAAAAAATAATTTTTAAACTATCAATTGTTGAGGATATTATAGCTAGCAGGGTGACTTACACTTAAATGGATATAGATAATTGTTTTTTATCTTAAATAACACAGATAGATACAAACACTTTCATCTAGTTAATATAAAAGATAAACTATTATTATCTAGATAACAGATTAATTATATTAATGTGTTTATCTAGATAAATCTGAAGACTGATCATAATATATTTTATTGAAAACAAATATTACGAAATGAAAGTTACACTTAGTTGTAATAATAATAATATTAATATTGTGATATTTCTTGGAATCAGATATGGGAGGTATTTATAAGTAATACTAATATACTAATCTGAGATAATATTATATTTTAAAACTTTCATTGAGTCATCGAGATACAACATTTAAAAGTATCTTGTACCTATAATATATATTTTATATTTTTTTAGGTACAATAAGTTACATTCAAAAGTTAGAAAGGTAACTGGGAATTTTTTTTTTAAAGTGACATAATCCACATAATCTACAAACTCACCATTTTGTACTCATTGTTTACTGATAATTTATAAATAAAACTAAAATGCTATGTAAAACCAATTAAACTATAAGTACTATATTTTATTCGATAATAAAATGTACCAAAATATTATTTCATTAAGTTTGAATAAGAATTAGGAACTCTAATAAATTTAATATAATCTATTAAAAATGTATAGTATATATTTTATCTTTTATGAATCTCCACGATACTATTATATTTAGTTTTTTTAAAACAGATATTGAGGTGTATTATTATACAATTATTGGAGTTTGTTGCATCTTGTTTATAGGTACACACTAAAAATAGATAAATTATTACTTGTTTTGGATATCTTATTCAACCCTGCCTGTAACTCATAGACCAACTGCGCGGAGTTTTGGCGCAGCAAGCGCATTAATATTTAGGTATACGATTTGTAGGACAGCAGCGTGTACACAATAGGACATGACAACCGATCCGAATGCTTATTGTTTAAATACTCTTGTTTCGTACCAAATCGGAGCTCGCCGTGAGAAACAAAAGGCAATTCTCCGGCAAGTTGTTGTATGTGTTTGCGTGTGTATGTGCGTTCCTCACATTTAACTCAATATAAGGAATGCCAAAAGTTTTAATTTTAATATTAATTTTTGTTCTGACAATGAATAACATCGGTTGGAATATCCGTCAATAAATAACACAATTTATACGAAAATATTATGTAGGTCGGTATGGGTACCTACTGTATGTTTTCAAAGGTAACTTTTCGAAAAAGACAATTCAAATATTACGTATAGGTGTTATATACCTATGCTGTTTTCAATCATTGTGAATAATACTTCAAAACATAATATTGTCGCCTTTCACGACAACGACGACAACGACGACAACAAAATAATAATAATTATTTTTCTCGTAGGTACTCGTACACAATGTAACGTACTGGTATAAACTTTAAGGAGCGTGCAACATATTATTTCGAATTCAACTCAGTTGAAAACCTAGCATTTCGTGATTATTTCAAATCTCAAAATATATAGTATTATATTATAATATAGGCATTAAAGATAATATTATTAAATTATATGACGTGCTCACATAAACCGCACGTGCAGCACGAAAAGACGATTATGGAATTTTTTTTTTCTGGTATATTATAATAAAAATTCCATTATAAAAATATTATTATTTTTCCGGTGGACCTACGACGTGGAAACCGAAAGTTTTTCATTTGTCTTATCCAAATATAATATTATTACCTACCGATTGCCGTTTGGGTGGTTGGTAATATTTTTGGCCGTTGCCGTTTACCTTCGAAAATGAGATAATCTTTTCTTCCACTATCTATTCCTCACCATTGTACAAGTATAATAATATACATAATATTATACGTTTTTATGTTTGGTCATTCGTTCATTACCGAAGTAAGAAATCGTCACCCACCTAATAATTTGTATATTATTTATATGCATTGTATACCTATACAGTATACATTTCATATTCTGGACAATAATATTTTATGAACATTTAGATTCTGAGCTAAGCAAGGAATATGCATTAGATTTGCTATAATGTATGCTTTTAGATTTTTGGTGCAGTAAGGAATGCCTTACTAAGTTTGGTGTACTATCTTCAATGTACTGGTTTTACTATGATGTGTGTTTTTTTTGTTTTTTGTGTTTATTAACAACTTTTCCACGTACCAGAAATCTTTCTTCAATCTTCAAGTTTAGTATCTTTTCTAACATTAAATTTTGTCTAGTTGGTATATTAGGTGGGTATTTTTTTTTTTATTTTATTATTAACTGGAAGAAACCGGTGTGCTTGATACCGTGTTTAAAAATACATTTTTATAATGGCTATCTTGTACATTGAAAAAAAAACGGTTTTTTTTTTTTTTTTTAATTTTTAGTTCCAAGAGACGCCTTGTATAGTGTGTATAAAATAACTACTAGCTTTTCAATGTTTAGAGGAAAATGATATGATTTCAAAAGGACAATTTGGAGGGAAATTGAATGTATTTTTTTTTATCTTTTTTTTTTAAAGAACAGATGTTGGTAGTAAATAGAATCTAATATTTTTAGAGGAAAAAGAGCTCACTCATATTTTTGTTAATATTATTGTTAGATATATATTTTTCGTTTTACGTTGTCAATATGAGCATTGTTATTTTGATATAATATTACTATATACGACTGCTACGACTGGTAAAAACGCTTGTTTAAAATTCATGATCGCGTTTTCGCCATCTTTGCGGGTATTCTTGGCATATACTCAAACCACACTTTATTAAAGAAATAACGTATAATAATAACAATTTTATGTAAGTTAACAAATATAACGCAAATATAATATTGTTCCGACTGAATTTTACGGATAAAAATGTCAAAGTGTTGCACTTTCATAGAGATATAATATTATTGTACTTTATACGGGAAGCTTAGATTCATTTTACCTTGGAGAGTGTGTGTGTGTGTGTGTGTGAGCGCGCATCACGTAGGTATACACAAATAACACAATATTTCGGCGATGGTGGCAAACAATACTACTACTACTAACTGCAGCCTGTATAGCTATATCGCGGTAATGCGTAGCAAATTAATTTTAAAGATATATCGTATTAAATAAAATGTCGGGATCGTTTGAACCGCTAAAACTCCTAGCGCAGCAGCCACAAACTGTGTACTACGTGCCTCGTGTGATCTTGGGGTTCATATAATATTATGATAGCAACACTGCAGCAGTCCGGTCAAATATTAAGACCATACAAATATAATCATACACGTACACACCGCTGGAATATAAATGAATAATCAAACGTGGATAAAGCGTACTTTTTATTGCCTGGCGTGGTTTTTTTTTTTTTTTTACTAACTAAGAAAATCGTTTATCGATGTTTGCGATCGGTTAGGTTAGGTCACCTGATCTAACCTACTTATAGTATTTTCCTAATACTCTTTGAAATAATAATTTTTCTTATATTTATTTCATCATCACATTTTTATATTCGATTGTAATATACCTATGTATATTACAAAATCGTTGAACTTTTACATACTATGATAAACAATTGAGTGTAATTATGCTACGTCTAAAGTGCTAATATAAACTGTATGTGTTGTATTAGCTACCTACTTGAATGCCACAGAAGTTCAGTTTGTCCGTCAACATGGCACTTTTTGAATAAAAACTTGTTTCTAAAATGACGCATTAGACTAACTAACTAGTGCCTTAATATGCATGTGGAGTATGTACATCAAAATTGGACGATAAAAAGGGTTGGAGTTTTAGAAAGGAAAATATTAAGAAGAATCTTTAAACCGGAAAAAAATGGCCATGCGAATTGGGAGTATAAAACAAATGAAGAGGAAAAATATGGGATAGTAGGGATAATACGAGTTTTAAAGTTTTTGAGGTCGGCTGGGTAAGTGTGGAGATTCGAAAGATTACTTGGACAGATAATGAACTAGATATCAAACGAAGACGTCCTAGATATAGATGGCCGGACACAGTACGGGAACTTGATTTGAAATTACTGGGCGTAAAGAACAACGAAGAAGCAGATGAGATAATGTGGAGATCGAGTCTTTCAAAAGTCTTACAATTACAATAAAATCACTTAACGATTCTGTACAAGCAACATATGTTTTCATCAAAATATCTTTATTCTATATCATGTTTAACATTTAAACCGGAGACGTAGGTTTAAATTCAGAAACGCTAAATCGATTTGATAAAAAATTGGGATGCCGTATTTATGCAGTATAAAGAATAAGGGTATTTCATTATACATATATTAGTATATGTAGATTAATAACAGAAAAATCTCAAATCAAATTTGTATTTAACATTTTTATATAGAAATCATCGCAATTTTGTTTGTAATAAAATAATCACCCTGTATTAAATATACAATATTTGATTAACTAAAACAACGATAATTTTCGTAGAAGTTGTTTAGAAATATACTCAGTATTGTTTTGTGATTATATATTAATTAGGGTGAAATCAATTGTAAATCTAGTTCACATGTAGTATAGCCAATAAACAGTGGAGAAATGTGTCAGTTAAACCACTAGAATAAAGAAACCGATCGGTGTGGTTTATTCCCTAATGAACTGCTAGGATATCGTATAGTCCCTTTTCGAATTTCTGTGACTGTACACCCAAGTGTCCCGAAATAGAAACGTTTTTATTGTCACGGTTTTCTTCGTAACCTTTATGGACGTTTCGTCCCATTTTCTATCCGAGCGAAGTCGACCGAGTCATATGTTGATTAACTTAGTAAGGTATATTATATTCAACCGGAAAGCAAAAACATGGTATTCTTTTTATATCGAGTTTAGGGTCGATTTTTTCCTCAATTTTGTTCGGCGTCAAATAATCGGGTTTTTAAAAAATTATAGAGAATAAGTATATTTTCCTGTTCTAATAGGTTTAATATAAATCGTTTAATTTTAATCTGACAATCAAAGAAAAGAAAGTTTAAAAAATGTATACGATTTAATTTCATTGATTTATTATTCGATTGTGTCCTTTGAGTTTTTTTAAATTTAATGATCATCGAAAAAGAGAGTTGAAGGAAGTTGAGAAGGTAGGATACATAGTTATTTAATTTATATTTCTACACACTGAAAAATAATATATTATTGTTGATGAAATATGACTCTAAGTAAAGTTCGATTAAACATGTTTTGAAATAGGCACTGTAATTTTTAAGAATTTCGTCAAAATTAGAATTTAAAGCGCTTGTAAGAAACTATATAAGTTTAACTTTTTTTTTGATTATTTGGTATAATACTTATAATGAACATGGTATTAATTTTTTAAAAATTACTGTTCGGTAAAATCATTTATGGTTTATAAAACTAAAAACGTAGAAAATATCAAATGCCTATAGATATCTCAAAAATTGCAGAATGTTTTGAAAAATCTTGGTTTTATCAATTATGTATTATGAAAACCACTTAGAAAAAAAAAAATGACTTCTCTAATACCATAAGATCCAAAATGCAACAAAATAAAGGCTCTTGTCATTTTTTGATTGGAGTAAGACCATTTGATTATGAGCAATTTAATATATTATTATCTTTATAGGTTCTCATAATTTATCAAAATATTTACGTATTTACATTTTCAATTAAATTAATTTAATGTTTTATTAATCGTCATTTCAGTTTATATCTATCGTTAATCTCTATTTAATACATTTAATGATAAATACAATTATCGAGTTTAATATAATAAAAATATACAGAGTACAGTTTTATTAACGATTTGTTATTTTAAACACGTAGGTACATTGCAGTATACGTTTTAAGTGAGGGTCATTCGATTCATATTGTTCTTTGCGATTCAATCAAATAAATTTATATTTTCGAACAGAATTAACAAATTAACCTTTATACGATTTGTACTCATTTAATTTGTATTATTTTTCTTTTTTTGGGAACGACCAAAAGAAACACGGTATAAGATTATCTAAATTTGTATTAAATTTGGAATAAGTTTGTTTGATATAAAAACATAAATAGTTTAAAGTTCATTTATACGTTTGAAAATAATAATTATTCGTTTTAGACTTCGTCGTATAGAGTGATAATATGAGGAAGTTATTAGTTTTAAAATTATGCGTATTTTTATCTGAAATCAATTTTAAGGGTTGAGAACATGCCTTAATTATTTTTCATACATCAATTATTAAGTGAGTATAGGTTAAAAATGTTTCTCATAATTGTCTTCAATGTTTTTTTATATTTATTAAAGAAACTATTAAAAACAATACAAGTCCATAACTATATATTTTTAGCCTAGGTAGTTGTTTTAATCACCACGTTAAATTTGTATTACTATAATATTTATATACTTATTATATTTTATTAAAACGGAATAACATCAATCATTATCTCGATTTATGTTTGATTAAATATTTGTTAATTTTTATACATTTGAATATAATTTTTTTTTTTTAAACTTAGGTTGTAATATTGACACTGTTGAGAAGTAATGCTTTATTGTATTGATAAAGCTAGAATATGAAAGTTAATAAATCAATTAAACATTTTACTTAATTTAAACAAAACTATACTTCATAAAGTTTTAGTTGAATTAATTATAATTTATTTTTCCGAATGACTGAAACACAATTCGAGTTTTAAATCACGTTTTAAAGAATGATCTTTTTGTAGTTAGAATGTTTAACTTGTAGCGTTTATGTGTAAAGGAAAAAACACATTTATGTTATTAAGCAACTAAAATTATGTAATCATATCAGAGTTTGAAATTTAATTTGGGGCTTATCAATATTAAAATAATGTATACTTACCTTATATAAACTTATGTGACTGTAATATTGAAATTGTATTAATTTTAAATCGTTGTTTTATCTGCATTATGAAGATCGTATATTATTTAAGAAGAAGATTTCATTTTTATAAAATATTATAATGGGTGTATTTTTGTTTTACTTGTTTAAAACAAAACAATTACAATTGCGTATGCACTTTTATATACCTACGGTTAAGACAAGTTACTATTATTTGCATACTACTACGTACAGGTACGCCTACCAATGCGTTTAAATTTTAACAAAATTTAAGTAGATATATGTAGAAGTACTATACAGCTTTCCTTTATTTTCCAATGTTGTTTACACATGGATATATAGTACCAGATGGTATATATTCCGAAACTTTTTATTTCTTAGTTCTTATGAGAACTAAGTACTTAATCTTGTACGTGACTGCGGTCTTTTATTTTAGTTACGACATAAATCTTTAGATTAACTTCTAAGTGTACGTTTCTATACCTACTTTTCCTTTGAATATTGTTTGTGCCACTGTTGTAGATTTCATTTCATCGCAGCATTTGTCCAAAACATGAAAAAGGTGGTTTATATTAGGTGATATTTTTTTTTACATGGTGTGGTGTAAAATTTAATGTGTGAATTATTTGGTACGGCCTTTACCCTGTCGTGGCTAATCTGTCTCCCTTATTTTCACCAAACAAACGTTTACTCGTAAAGCTTTTTGTAGCTCGGTAAGATTTATCGGAGTTGTACTATACGTGTAAATAAATAGACCGGGAAAGAAAACAGGAACATTTCTATCATATCAGGTAGGTGAAGTTAAACACATATATACCTTATGTTTACCTGTACTTCAGTTATCATACAATAAGAGATGGGTGAAATTATTGATAATTGCAGTTAATAATATTGAGCCAGAACAAATAAAATAAAAATAATTTGTCTATCGTTTTTATCGTTTTGTTTATCGTCGAGCAGAACATGGGAATTACATAAAGTTTTACAATGTTTATACTATGTATGTATGTATGTATGTGTGAGTGCTATTTCTCAATAAAATTAATTTTAGAAATGTTATTTATTGAAATAATAATGTATTCGTTAATTCATAAAATCGCGAAAAGCTGAAAAACAGCAAAGGACTTCTTCTTATAATAGTCATTTCACTAAAATAAAAATAACTCATCGGCACTTCAAATAATTTGAAAGAATTATTCTTCTCTATTTGACTTTACATGGGTCTATTATTATCACTGTTAATCCATAAATTTAAGATCAAAATAATCTATCAAAGTTTATTTATAATCAGATTACTCCTTTTATTTTATATAATAAGTACATAAAAATGCTGCATGTAAAGTATACAAAAATATAAGAATATACAAATTAATTAATATGCACAGTTCGTCGGCATGGTAAAAATGCCAATACAATTAAGGTAGAATTTATATTCTTGAAAAAAATAAAAATGCAAAAGAAGTGTAATATTTATATAGTAATATTGTTATTTATTATCTATGAGAAAAAAAAATGTATTATGGTTATAAAATTTAAATTTAACTTGTTATTTGATCATTTTTACACAGTCATACGTGTAAGTTCTAAACGTAAGCGAAGACTGTATTAGTTTTTTGTAAAGTTTTTTTTTTTCAGAAACTTTTATTAAATATTTATAATTTTAGCATTTTCTAAAAGTTTTAATTCATTACTATCTTGGTTTTAAGTTCATAAATGTATGTTAAATATGAATAAATGTAATTTGGTTTGTAGGTACAAAAAATACAAGTTTCAATTTAAGTTTAATAAAATATGTTTAACCTGTCTTTGTTCAGACTCATTTTTCGTTTGCAATGATTTATCGTTGCGTACCTATTGATTTGAATTAAATTACTATATTTATCCTATTTTCCAAATTGCTCACTTATAACAGTGGTTCTTCCACTGTGCGACTCAAATCGTTTATTTTTAAAATAATTGTACGCAGACAATTTATTTAATTTGAAATATCTATTATTTTTGAACGAAATATATTTTGTACTTTAAAATTACTTAATTTTTGTTTTTTTATTTGAATTGTAGGTATCGTGGATTAGAATGCGTGACTTACATATACTTACTTCTAGTCTGCATTTGTACACTAACGACGATCGGTTCGGGATTCAACACCCACTTAGAGAATCGGCTATTTGGAATTTGCAAATTAGAGATGTATCTCCAAAAGACATGGGCTCATATGAATGTCAAGTAAATACCGAGCCAAAAATCAAGTTCCTGGTCAACCTCACTGTATTTGGTAAGGATAAAAATTATATTAACATTTTTCAAATTTGATGGTATAATTTCTTTATTAGGAAATAAATACAATACGAGTAGACGTCACTTATATTAAAGAACAATTTAAAAAAATATCGTATGATATATTATGTATATACATAATTACATATACTTAAACTAACCCATTCTAACATAACATGTATTATCATTTATATATTAAATGTGTATACATATTATGTAATATATTCGTTTATAAAACGACTAAAATTGAAAAAAAAGAAATTAAAATTGAAAATATAACATCAACAGAATTATTTTAATTTTCAATGTGTTCCTTAACTTCATCTTAATTACGGAATATAGACACGCGTCACCGTTCTCGTCATAATTATTCTCTATAATCTTATCAAGTTTCAAATTGTAATTATTATTTGATGGTAGGTACCTACTTCCAAGTTTATCATTGGTTTAATTATAACATCAACAACAACCTTGTCAATATCAGAAAATGTACATATTACTACTCGGTCGTTTTAAACTTCCGACGAATCGCTTCGATTATTATAGGAAAATCCGTCAAGTGGCTCATTATTTTCTAAAATACGAACATTTGATTTTAGGTTTACATCGTTTGATTAACACATTACCTATTAATTACAATCTGTTTAAAAGCACGTGATACCTGGATTTATTGTCTCAGTCCAATTAGCATAGCAATATTACGTAACTTAGAATTAAAATTGTTGCGCTTAAGTTTGGTAAAAGAAATATAATAATAATATTTCTAAAGGCATATTGCCTTTTTGTTTTTCAAAATTATTGCCGTAAAATGTCAGTTTTAATTTTTTTTTTTTTTAAAATCAGTAATTTTTTTAGTTTAGAAATATTTTAGAAAAATAGGAATGTAGTGCCCTCGAAATATTCTCGTAATACTTGCGTTAAAACTCTTATTTCAACTTGAAGTCCATAATTTGAATCATTGGTGTAACTAGGGATTAGCCCTGTGGCAAGTTAAAATTTTGTGAACTATAGATATTTAGTCGATTTTTTCCTAAGATAAATTTACTTTAAATTCTTTCCACGATGCAAATCGTAGAGATTTCAAGTGACTATCAAATGCCATTTTTCAAATTCAAAATACACATATTATTATAATATTTTCTCTTTGATGATACAAATTATGTTTAAAAACAACATATTAATCGTAGATTATATTAGGAAATGTTTCAAATATTTCTATACAATTAAACCAACACTTACGTTACTTTTTTTTATTTTTAAAATTGTGTGCATATTTGAACCAGCAAAGTAGCTTTTTTAAAAATTGTATTCGTACAATAATGAACATCGTCTAAAATGGAACTAAAAAATTGCATTGATTCACTGCATACTATCTAACCTACAATATTTTACAGTTACTGTCCGCTAATTTACATTTTGAAGTTTGGTGTTTTTATATTTTTTAAGATTCTAAGTGTAGACATTCGTAATAACATTCGAATATACATACATTCGTATTAGTTTTAGTATGATGCGTGTTTTATTTCTGTCTATAAAAAAACTTTAATATCAGAAACTTTCTCAAATTAAGAAATAAGAATAGAAATATTTGGTAATATTTTGGATCTTGTTGATGAGTAAATAAGTCATTTTTCAAATTTTCCATCAGTTTTCATAATAATTATGAATTGCCTAAAAATGTGGGAAATACGGAAGAGTACGGTATTGATGATTTCGTTATTTTCGATTTTAGTTTTTTGTAAAAACAAAAAAAAAAATTATAATAGAGATTTTTATCCAAAATACTTATAGTAGGCGTTTCTAGACGTGATAAAATGTTAAAACATTTTGGCGTTTTTTGGGTTATTCATAGGTATTTTATATTTGCGAGTTTTTTTACGTAGTTTTTATTTGATAGGTATTTTGTTGGATAAAATGGCTTGATTAAACATCAATGTGTGTATTTATTTTTTCATATTTTCATAGTTATGATAAGATTAATAAATTATGATATAACTTATGATTTAATTTTGTTTGATTTTTAGATTCTGAACGAAATTAAACGAATGTACCTATTGGTTTTTTTGTCTTATACCTTGTTCTTATAAAAAACTTTATAGACAGTGTCATGCCGTATTATTGCTCTAGTTGGTGCATTGAGAAATTCATTTTTTGATTTTCTTTGTAGTTTCATGGTTAATTGTTGCATTCAATTATAAATTAAATTATTGTAAATTATATCTTCCTTTTAAACTTCCCTTCTAAAATAGTTGCACACACATCAGCATTTTTTTTATACTTGCAACATAAAATACTGCTTGTCAAGCTGACCAAACAAAATATTTAATTCAGTTGTTAAACTTCCATACCACTATTTTGTAGATTTGAGGTAAAATTGTATAAAAACTTTACCAACATAATATTATTTAAATATAAGAATTTCTAGAATTAGGTTTTTAAGCAGATTCACAGATTTTCAGTAACGATTCTATAAAAACAGGTATTTTACGTACTTAACCAATATAAAATTACCTAACAATAATAATAATAATAATAATAATAATAAAAAAAAATCCAATTTAAGTAGGTATAATATTATTACGTTACATTACAATAATACAATAACGAAAGCTTCCGAACTCAAGGAAGAACAGAAAACGTCTTTTAGGTGTTACCAAAATTACCACTATATTAATTTTGGCATTTTATTTGCGTAGAAAACTTTTTTACTTCAGATTGTTCTACAAACGATTTCGTAAGATATTTTTAATACTAATATAGGTATGGTATATTTTTGTAATATTTGCGTTTTGTATACAAAATTATACATGCATACTGTTGTTATTGTGAGCGGACAGTGTTAGAGTTCTAATGGATTTTGACAGAGACTTGAGATTGTCTGGAGAAAAATTATTTTCTGAACTAAAGTTAAATGTCTTTAAAATAAAATTACCGGCCAGAAGAAACTAGATAAACCAAAGTATTTTTTATGCACCTTGAACTTATTAAGCTTTAAGTAGAAATTCGTTTGAATATGATATGAATTTTCGAGTTGAAATTTATAATAAAAAGAAACATGATATATATATTTTTTTTATTTCTGGGATATCTTAGCAACATGGGAAAAAACATAATCAATACTAGTACACTCGAATTCGCTTTTTCCAAAACAAAATCATTAAGTTTAAATTTTAAGTAGGTATATTTTCAATTTACAGCAATCCCGTTATTACTCAATGAAAGTTTGCAAACAACGTCTAACAGTAGTTAATTAAATGTATTCATCGAGAAATTCTCAGGCCATCTATTTTAATTCAATTTAACTTCCTTACTCGTATAATACGATTATAATTTAAAAGGGTCATCGTGACGTTTTGTTTATAAATAATTAAGAATTTGAAATGCACGCAATAGTTAAAAATTGTGAAACACCTATGTATTTGACTACTGACAATTTGATATATGTTTTAAAACAAAGAATACCTATATACGTATACATTATCTGTTCAGGATTTATTTATTTTTCGAGGTTGTTGAATTTAGACATTTTCCCAAATCCGTTATAACTGAGTTAAAGAAATTTCAAAAGTATTTTTAAGTAGAATTTTCAGTAAATTTTTGTATGATTATCTTTTGTTACTTTGTTATTTTTCATTTTTTTTGCGTGCAAATTAACTGTATCGAATAATTTAAAATTGAATGCCATTTTCCGTAATCATTTGGCGAATATTGAAGATAGATTTTCTTCAAAGATTATTTTATCGATGCACGGTGGTTGGCTAAGTAGGTATTTAAGTTAATAACGAAGACCGGAGACGTTTCTTAATATTAGATTTTTGTTTAGTGAAATTGTTGTTGTATGGTGAATTTCCTTTTGACCATCATGGATTTTGCAGGTATCTAGGATAATAATAATTCAAAAGTTATCACATTGTATACCTACAGGTCTTTAGTTCCGAAAGTTTAGTGATCAGTGTATGAAAATATCTTTGGCCGAGTGTTAAATAGATTTTGGAATATTCGTATTTTTGATTTTTGACAGTCAACAACACAGGTAATATTTTATAAAAATACTTATATAGTAAGATAATAATAATTAAAAAAATCACACCTTAGGAGTGCACTTTGTCGAATTTTATATTGTTTCAAGTAGTCGGTAATTGATTACTAATCTAGGCTGGTAAACCATAGAAATTTCAGAATACGATGGTAAATTAGTTAATTCGATTTTCAAAATGTTTACAGTTGATGCGTTTTTGATTGTTACAATATAGAGTCAAACTGGGTGTTTCAGTTATGAAAAAAAATCCACGGGGGAGGGGGGATAAGAAGGATGCGGTATACTATGCTTCCCTATACACTGAACGTAAAGTTTTTATATTAAAAAATAATTTAAATAAAATCTATTCAGGGAGTCATTATAATATAGAGTGCTATTCCGTAGAGTTGGCTATTTATTTCTGGAATACTGTATGATAACGAAAATAAATATAAATTGGTTGTTTTTTAAAAAGAAAGTTAAGGTCAACGGAATCGCGTTCGAACAAATATATTTGATAACGCATACAATTTACCAGTTTTGTCTTTTCAAATTTTTATTATTATTATTATTATTTTTTTTTTAAGGTTTTTTAACGCGTCATTAACAATACGTCTCGTGTTTAACTGTATGATATTTGGAACGTTCTCTAAATGTTTAAATATTCGTCCAGGTGTTCAGGTTAACTGCCAAAAAAATTAACGCATTCACGTTCACCTTCTTTAATTAAAAAGAGAAAAGCTTTCGTCCAGTCATTTATCCATTCATTACTAATACTATTTAAAACATTATAGAAGATAAATACTATACATTTGATGCAGCAAAATTTGGCAAAGTTAATATATTATGTATTTGAATGAAATCGTTTTATTTATTATTTAATTTTCAAACGACTAATTCTAATTAAATTATCGTGAGTTTTACACAAGTTTAATAATAAAAAGAGCTGTTACTGAGGATGGGAGCAGCCACTGTTGTAGGTGAGAAGTTGGGAAGTTAGGATACATACGGTTATTTAATTTATATCTGTAAGCAATGATAAACCATTGCAGACGAAAGACGATTCCGAGCGCAGTTCGGTAATACATAATTTAAAGTCTCGTAAGTTTTTTTGTGATTTTCATTTAAATTTGATTTCAAAACGCTTATTTAAAAAAAAAAGTCGTCCAAAGATTTTGGAAATTTTACCACGTCTAGGTTCGTCCAATATAAATATTATTACCAAGTTAGTTTCAAGTCTCTACGTGTATTTATAACCGAATTACGGCAAAAAAATTCCCAAAAATTTAAATTCCTTAAAAGCTTAAAAGTGGCTAAAATTTTTGGTAATACTACGGTAAGAAAGTAAATTAAAAAGGCAACAATAAAGGTGTCTTGTGATTTTTCAATTAAATTATTTTTTTCTGGTAGAAAACGTGTTTTATAAAATAATGAAATTGTGAAATTTGTACGTTTTCCTATAAGTGCTTTTATTTAAAAAATGGCGTTAAAAATCAAAAAATGACCGTTTTAAAGTACAATATAAACAACTTGAGGTTTGAGGAAAATTACTACACTTATACATCGGAGCAAGTTTACTAGGGAAAAACGTGTCTATGGACTAGAACAAAGAAAAAAATAATAAACAGTGTTGTAAAACCCATAGCTGCTTCGCTACACTTGGAATCTAAAAAACCGGAAGTACTACGTACGATAGTCGGTCACTGTAGAAGATAAATAATTTGAAATTTACATAGGATGTAGGGTGGTTTAGTTTCTTTACTGTAAGAAACCATGAATCATTGCAAGCGAAAACCGATTCTGAGTGGAGTAATATTAGACTTATTAGTCTAGGTATTAATGAAGTCTATTTTTTTTTTAATTTTAAAAAAAGTTATTGGGAATATATATAAATGTTTCAAACAAACCTAACCTGTCGAAAATGTCGTATCTTTCAAGGCATAACGATGTTTATAATTTGGAACATTTTACTCAAATTTTCATATACATAAAACATATATATAAAACAAAATATTTTGGACAAAGTATTGGCGATTAATTTTTCAAGCAAAGTATCAATCATATCTGTCGAAAATATGTATGTTTTAAAGGTATTATGTGAAAAAATCATAGAATTTTTACTAAGTAAACATTGTTTACCGAGAAAAAAAAACACAAACGACTTAATATCTTCTTTGCTACATTCATAATCTAAAAACAAACAAAATCAAACGATCGAAACAATATAAGTGTTGACAAAACGACTATTTTCTATAACCTAATATCCGCAGTGTAAATACTTGTATGTGATTTATGATAAAGGTATCATATAAACGGATATTGTTTGTTTTATATATTTCTTTTTTAGATTCCGAGCGTATTTTTTTACTATATTAGACTAATTTGAAGAAACTGTAAGTCGCGTCGTTGCTTTGGGCCGATGGTCCGTAGTATGTTTTGATTAGACTGTTAAATTATCTATTTTCGTAACTCGTTTGAAACCCAAAACTTAAAATGAGATAAAACATTAAGAAGTGTCGTGCTAATGTATAGTTGAAAAAAAAAAACAGCAAGCGTATAAATACTGTAAAGTAGTAATAAATTTAAACAGATAGTAAAAAATAGTTTAAACCTATAAAACAATGGATCGCGTAGTTTGTGTTCTATAAAAATAATGACGGTCACCTACCGTTCGTAAACACGGATGATGAACCGCAGTTAACGCGTGTTTACTTTTCGATTTTAGTGTAAATTTAATTCTAATTTGAAAAGATTTTTTTTTTTTGTTTATTTCTTGGTCCCTTTGGTTATAGGAGAAATACACGACTGATACTACGATTACTCGGAGTATTGCTTTTTGTTTGTTAGTTTTCAGAATTAAATTTTATGTTCTGACTCGAACGAGGAATTTATTGGTTTTACAAAGATGTTCAATTTTTCAGTGGACAACTTGATTACTAGCAATTTTGATCCGATTTACAATGATAGCGTTTTTTCTAAAAGGAAATCTGATTGGGGAGATACTTTTAGAAGGTCATTTTTTGATTTTCTCGGGAGTTTTCCGAATAAATTGAAAAAACTGGGAAAAAACGAGGGGAAAATATTTTGAATTGTACAGTGGGTACCTGCGTACGTTATTAATTCCATAAACTTGAAATTACTAGCCATAATTGACCATAAGAAATAAAATTGCCCATTGGAATCTATACTCACCACTACGACATTGCGAATATGTAGAGACGTATGGAAAAACAAAAAAAAAAAAAAATAGCTGATACTGGGGACGGGTGCGACCACTGCTGTAATTGAGAAGTTGAAAAGGTAGGATACATATGGTTATATTATTTATATCTGTTAGCAACGATAAACCATTGCAGACGAAAGACGATTCGAACCTAACCTTTGAAGTGCCATAATTTTTTTTAACCTTACCTTCCTACGTTTTTTCCCGATTATTATGAAAACTAATTCGAAAATCAAAAAATTGAATCACGTTAATAAAAAAAAAGATTAAAAATTCAACAAAAAAGATCTTTTGTTGTTTTTTAATTGGAGCCATATTTGTGCTAGAAAACGTGAAAGGTACTTATTTAAAATAACGAAATCTTGAAAAATTTCTATTTTTTTTCCCGTTATTCGTTTTCAATTTAAATACCGTTTCAAAAATCAAAAAATAGCTTGAGTACTTAAAATTGAGTATCAGAATAAGTGCTACACTTATACATCGGATCAAGTTTTTTAGGATAAAGGTGGTCTACAGTATATAAATAAAAAATAAAGTATCACAGTAAAAAATTTAAAAAAAGGAAAACCAAGTCGTCCAAAGATTTTGGAAATTTTACCACGTCTAGGTTCGTCCAATATAAATATTATTACCAAGTTAGTTTCCAGTATCTACGTGTATTTATATCCGAATTACGGCAAAAAAATTCCCAAAAATTAAAATTCCTTAAAAGCTTAAAAGTGGCTAAAATTTTTGGTAACGATACCGTAAGAAAGTAAATTGAAAAGGCAACAATAAAGTTATCATGTGATTTTTCGATTAAATCATACTGGTAGAAAACGTCCGTGTTTTTATAAAATAATGAAATCGTGAAATTGTACGTTTTCCTATAAGTGCATTTATTTAAAAAATGGCGTTAAAAATCAAAAAAATGACCGTTTTAAAGTACAATAAAGACAACTCGAGGTTTGAGGAAAATTGCTAAACTTATACATCGGATCAAGTTCACTAGGAAAAAACGTGTCCACAGACTAAAACAAAAAACAAAAAAACAAAAAGAAATAAACAAAAACAGCATTGTAAAACCAAATAGCTACACTATCTAAAAATGTATCAATTTACAATATCGAAAACGACAGAACGTATAGCGAAATCGGGTAGTCTGATTACTACTGGCTCGTTGAGATAGTATAATTTATTGCTCAAATATTTGATTTATAAATTGAATTCGATCAAACAAAATTGTTCGTTTCAATACGCATTCTATTGCGATTCGTTTTAATGGAAAGTGAACTGTACTTACTTATACTAATAATACAACGTACTGTATTCATATTTTATACTATCCGTAAAAATATTTTAGTTAAACTTAATATAAATTGCATGACGGACGGTATGACGATTATTTTTTATGAAGACTTTAGCATCGTGTCCGGCGATTTTAATGAAGATTATGTATTACGACAGAACCACATCGTATAATATATTTGCATAAATACGTATACATACGAATAATTACCTAACAAATTCAAAATTCGCACGAAGATTAAATACATTGTATTACACTATATATATATATATATATACTGTACATAAATATATATCTGCGGATATAAAACATGAAATATACCTACATCCGTTTTGTACAAAGTTGATTTATTTAAGCATTGTACAAATGTTATTATGCAACGCCGGCATTGTATAAACGAGACACTCGTGCACAACGAAGAGTGTTCTACGAAGATTACTAAATTTTAAAACGATTGTGTAACGGAGTTTATATTTTACCCACACCTCTTTGAAAATCTAGTATATCATCTGTATGGTATAACGTTTTCGTTTTCTTTTATACCGTCTGTATACCCACGGACATTTTGTAGGAATTTTAAAATTATACTCTTAGCGAAGCGTGCCAATCGTTTTTTTTACACACACACATATATATATATATATAGACGAATATAGTTCCTCGAGTAATAAACCTTCATATTATTAATTAAATATTTTGTTTGTTTTAGCGGATTATGTTGAAAGTTACTTTTCTGACGAAACCGCTGTCTATATTCTATATGATCACGTTTAATTACTAATATTTTTTATAAAGCGACAGTAAGGACAAAACGTTTGATACATAATGCAACGCAATAATATATTATGATTTACGGCCGATAAAATACGAGTTATTTTTAAAAAATTGATATTGGCCACGTTTAACAGCTTGTTTAAATGTCACGAAATGATATTCAAACATTGTACCTACACCGTAACAAATACTGTTATCATTTATTTACGAAATTAATTTTAAAACGCGTGTACAACGATTTTTCAAACATTCTATATTTAATAATATTGACATGAATCGAAAAAAAAATAGCACTAACATAAAAAGTTACCCGTTCAAAATGTAGGTACACAGTTTTAGTTTATTATTTGTTCGGATGTATGGCGTATTGTATACTACGCAACAAAAGCGCCCGGCCAATTAAATATAATAAGCCTGGAGTTTTTTTTTTCCACCGGAGTCTGTGAAATAGTTTATATTGAATACACATCAATATTAAAGTAATTTAAGACAATATACTATGATGAATAAATCCATTAATTTGGCGCGTGATGAATATTACGTATAGGCATAATATACGGCTCACTGTCATATTATACCTGTTCGACGTCGGTACAATGGGACGCGGTTCGTAAATTTCCACAGATTTTTAGCTAATGAACGCGTTTTATTGAATCGAATAATTAATAGATAATATTATATAGTATACTTGATTAATTAGTAACGGCTGAAAAACGTTGTAAGACGAGCTGGTAGGAGTTATAAATAATTTTAGTCCGAGAGAAAGCTTGGTTTTAGTTTTTGTATTATATTAAGCACGTTAATTAATTGGTCTGTGAATTAATTATAAACGTCTCGTAAAATAATTATGATCAAAGTTATTTAAAAAAAAATATTTATCAACACGTATAAATGATAATAATAATAATAATACGATGGTTTATTTTATTAGATACGATACATACGTCGTTTTCTACGAGGAAGTTTTGTTTTCCTCCGCGATAGAAAATGGGCTACCTACATGAGCATATTATTATTATTATTATTATTAGATATGGATGGACAATCTGCAGTTATTATTAGCGCTTTTGTACGTACTATTAGGATTTAATGTTGTATATTTTTGTCATAGAATAAAGAATACGTTGGTTTTAATTTTTAATTTGTAATATTTACGGTTTTATTATCGTTCTTCTTTCATTTGATTTTAATTTATTGATAAAAAAAGCCTTGGAAATCTCTCCTTAACCGCCCTTCTTAAAGCTTGGCCTCATATGTGAAAACCGGGGGAATGGCCAACACTAGTCCCTCCCCCCCATAAATAAATCTGTAGTTTGGCAGATAGAAATCAAGTGGGTTTATTTGATTAATTAACCCGTGAAATAATTGTTTGTGCCAAAAACCACCCAATGGCCAATTGGATTTTAGAACGAAAACATATTTGAAATTAATTGCATAATTATCCCATAATTTATGGTATAAAAAAATATCTCACGGGTTAATCAATCATTGTCTTTTTAGTGCATGGCAAATGATTTCATACCTCTTATGGGGATTCATACGGTCAGTTACTTTGTTGTTTTATCCATGGTGATTACATAATAAAACATTTTCAACGATATTTTATTTTAGTAGGTATATTTTCTGTTATTTTTCTCGCTTCTGCAGTGACAGTTTCGTAAAAAGTTATTTCCTTTGTACGTGATTAAATGTGATTCACCATGTTAAAATAACCTTTTTCCGAGCGTTCAGACTTGGAAAATCAATTTCCTTTCTGTATTTGTTTTTTTTTTTATCGTTTACATTCACACACATGATTTAACTGCCAAATGTTAGTTAGCATATTATCATAATATTATACATACCAAGTTGACATACTGTACACATTTCGAAACTGCTGTAATTCCAGTGAAATATTTTAGATTTTTCTTTTTGATTGTATTGAAAACATTTTCCTAAAAATATTATCATTGATTGATCATTAAACTAATGATCTGATTCATCTCCTATACGTTCATACAAATTAATTGGGGAGGGAGGTGTTAGTCCATAGGACACCACCTATAGATTTAATAGAAGTTTGATTTTAGTATTGTTTCAATAGAGTTACTATTTTAGGTAAAATGAAAACTGTCTACGTTTTCAAAAATTTTAAAAACACTTTTCTATTCAACTACATTATCGAACCGATATATCTGATATATTGGATTTCTGTTATATATCGGGTGATTCATTTAAATGGGTACACTTATTACCTCGGAAATTATTAACTTTTTAGGAATTTGTTGTCTAGAACATTTAAAAAACAATCAGTTTTACAATTTTATATTTATTTTATTTTTGAGGACAAAACCACTACCTACTTTTGATTTTCAAATGGCTATTTATATTAAAATGTTCATAAATAGATGAAGTATTAGTTAAAATAAATTCGAGTGTTGAAATTTTTGATTTGTGTCAAGCCGTTTACGAGATATTCCACTTTTAAGTTGAGGTTGAAGAAGAGCAGTGGTGCATTATTAACACGCCGCGAGCCGTACCACCACATAAATGATACTTGGGGTAGTAGATAGTGGTCCGAGATAATAGGTGTACTCACTTAAATGGATCACCCGGTATATCCGTACTTTTAGAAAAATAATTACTTCGACATTAATGATTAACATTAGTCGATTATTTCAAAATGAAAAATCAATATCGGTTTGTAGATATTATAAAACAAATCGTTGACAATGTTCACGATGGCCTCAAAATATAGAAAAATCATTAAATATTGAAGCGTCGGATAAGAATCGCAGTCGACGTATCATTGTGATCGCCCCCGGTTATATTTATATGATACTTCATGAAAAGTAAAACCGTTATTAAAATAGTGTTGTGTTTCGATTGTATTGCCAATAGTACGAGTAGGTACTGATCCGAATATACAGACAAGAAAGAAAAATAAAAAAGAATTTTAAAAAAAAAATCATCCGTCATTTTCCATCGATTATCCCGTTAAATAGCGGCTATCGGGAATAGCGTGCGCGGATAAAATCTTTCGATTTTTGAGCGTTCAAGATATATTATTTGTAAACACGAAATTGCGGGCGGATCCTCGGATGGTTATACCATTACATACCATACGTTATTAATTGCTTTTTGCGTGTCGTTCAAACATAATCTTTACGTATACGTATTATACAATGATACGCATACGGTGCGGGCGCGACGAAAAAAAAGGGGTCTTTGAAAATATCTCGTAACATTCCGACACAACATCGTCATAATAGTGTAATACACTGCGGAGCACGTGGTGCAAAATGTCATCATAATGTCTGAACTATATATGCGACGGTGCCATGTGCTTTTGATCTCGTATGTGTCAAGAAGACGTAGGTAGATGCACGTAGGTATATAATAAAAATATGATAACAAAACAACGACCCTCCCGGTATAATAATGTTATTATTTTTCGTCCGCGAACGTGTTGGCGATGATAAACAATATTTTTAGCGATGTATTTCGCATCGGTATATTGATTGAATAATTTATAAACGTGCGGAATATAATAATTTCGAAAACCGATATTAGATAATATAGCGTACAATATAATACTATGGTATACCTACCTATATACTTACACGCGGGATAAGCACGAACAAAAATAAATGTAATATACTTTTCGCGGAGGCCGTCGACGTTCATCTTCTCTTAGATTATGGCCGGCTTTCTTGATTTATACTTTCTATTATACTCTATTTAGGTATATAAAGGTGCTTGGAAAGAAAATGTTTTATTTACTCAAACGCACCTAAATACCTGTATATAATAATACCTACTGCTTATTGTGTTGCAGAATCTGACGTGATGATCGGCGATATGGGAGAAACCAATGTCGGTGAGTACGGATTTAATTTTTTATTTTTTGTATTGTTTTTTTATGTTTAAGAGACTTTATTTTTATTGTCAAATTTTCCCCGAAAAATAGAATCTATTTCACTGAATCGTCTTTGCTATAGACACACCTATACCCATCTTTTTCACGCTATTTATGGACGCTTTTATAGCGCCTTCTTCTAGACTAAATAAGCTAAAATCCGAGAGTTAAAATTGCTTTACAGATAGATTGAAGTGATACAATAGTCTGTGTGTATTACGTCAGTAGTAAGGAAGTGTCTCTTGAAGGCTTCAACACTCAAACCTTGCCCCTGCTATTTGTATGCTTGAATTCGACTCTAATGATAGAGGTCTGCGTTGGTCACGAGTATTTCTTTTTAATTTATAGAAATTATAGCCACATAAAATATTATTACATTATAACCGTTGAAAAGAGCAAGAATAGCTTAACTATATTATAACTATGTAGAGAATTATAGTCTCTGAAATTCATTTTCTGTTTAAAACTTGAATCTTGAAACTCGTACGACCAGTAAAAAGCGAGTTATTTCCGTAAAAAAGTAGTTTTCACAACATTTGACCACGAATAGCTTGTAAATAACTTTTAGTTGTATTATTGCTCTTTTTGAAAACAAATTGTAAACCAACACTACATGTGAATCGTTAAATGCAAAGAGGGCACAATAACGTTCAAATTTTTAAACTTTTTAAGAAAGACAAAAAACTCCTTGATCACCTAGAGTTTTATAATATTTCTTAAAATAACTATAGACATTTTTTGATGATATCTAACACTTAAAATATGTAATTAACATGAAATTTGGATTTAACTTTTCTGTATTACATCCACGTGTATTAACATATTACTAATTACTTACAAAATGTATAATTAAAAATTTAACTTTTACGAAGCAACATATTTTATATAAAACGAATTATTAATCTATGGATACAATGTCCACATTTCTAGAATGAATAATTCCATTATTGTTAAACTAATTGTTTGGACTTGACCTATATATTATATTATAATATTCACTAAATGGTTTTTTTAAATACTTTTTTTTTTTTTTAAGTGCTATTATAAAGAAAATATTATAGCGCGGAACAGAAATATTTAATGGTGTACGTAATAATTAATATTCTACCAAGTTTTTAAATTTTATGAGTAATGTATTTATAAAATATTATGGCAACATTATTTACACGTTGTTAGGTAACGGCGTTATTTGAGACGAGATAATTTATCAAAACGATGAACTAAGAAAAAACAATGTCAGTAAGATTCATGATTTCAAAGTAATATTGTATTAGAGGAGGCAAGTATTTGTTTTTCATTCAAACCGGATCCGGAAAATATTATAAAACATAATATTATATTTCAATAGTGAAGATCCGATGAATTTGACAAAGACACATTTCTCGGTTTGTGTAGGCATATCGCCAATTTTATAAATACCGGTGCCTTTTTAGAATAATATTACGGAGAGAAAGAGAGAGAGAGAGAGAGAGAGAGATAAAGAAAGAGAAAGAAATTCGATCATTGTGTTGATGAGTAGGAAAAGAAAACGGGAAGTTTTGCATTTTAAAGCCGGAAAAGTCTTTTAAAAACGGTTTAGAATCTTGCGGAAACCGGAGATCGCTTAAAATAGTTTATGTGTATACGTTTACTTCCAGTTTATACATATACAGGGTAATAACTATTTAGATTGAGTTTACTATTAAATTATTATTAAGTTAAAAAAAAAAAATAAATATACAAATGAACGGTGTAAAATCATATATTATATACTTTTCAATAAAAATGTATAAATAAAGTATTATGTATAAATAATATCAAATTATTTTTATGATAATTGATAACATAATACGAGTACTTACATTATTTGTATGATATATTATATTTTTACATGACATTGTTAAGGTGACAATTGCTACCTTACACAAAGGTCGTCAATCTGTGCGATATAATTTCCTTGTATTATATTTATATTAAAATTAATAATATGGTTTTAGAGAAAAAATTAATTTTTAAATGTACAGTTTATAAATAATTCTTCTTCTGTAGTTTTCAGTTTAAGGATTGGTTTGAAGCAAATAGCAATTTCCGAGCTTTTCTGGTGTCACACGTTGGCCTTCCTCTTTGTCTCTTGATATGAATCATACTCTTGATCTTTTAAAATCTGGGCCATGTATTGTAACCGTAATATTACTCTACGGTTCTTTTCTTCTACCATACATACTTTCTAAGACTAGTCCTAGCAACCCTCTATGTCTGAGAATATGGTATATCCATTAATTTCGCTATTTATAGTACCTATTTTACAAAAACGATATCAGTGAAATAAATATCATTGCCGAATTGCCACGTTCAGATTTACCCACAAAAGTCTGAAATTTTGAATAGAGCCTCGAGACGTCCTTCAAGTGGGATTTTCAAATTTAAATTTCAAAATGGCTGTTTATTATAGCACAATATGGGGCTAGATATCCTTAGCAGTCCTAATGGGAGAGGAGGATGTAAACATTTTTAAAATGTATATTGCATATAATTTAGCCGTATAGAGGGTGATCATTAGCACATAAAATTCGTTTTATTTTTATTCATAAAATAAAAAAATGTATTTATTCAAATCTATCGCGGATAAAGGAAAAGATAATAATGTTGAGGTAAATAAAAAAAAAAAAAAAAAATAAAAATGGATTTTAGATTACTTTATTTTTTAAATATATAACCGATATTATCACCCTGTATTCGTGTTCTTGTGCATGTACATTTCGAGACCAATATCTTCAACAGACGTATATTATATATTATGTCTGTTGAACAACGGTTATATAGAGTAGGTATATAGTTTCTTTTTCTCAGACGATTTATTTCTTCCATCGCTCTAGTAGGCTCTTTAATAATGTATTGCCAAAACAAAAATATATTTGTTACCATATTTTATTTCAACTATATTTTTTGCAGTATCCCTTCACGTAGGTACACATCGAAAAAATAAAATCTTACTTATGTACAGTGTTTTGAGACTTATCTAGATAATTCGCCTTGGTAATATTTTGTTTTTATCTTTTATTTTTTATCTACATTTAATTTATTTGAAACTTAACAAAATTATTATTTCTTGATTAATGATTTAAATAAAAACGAAAAATCTCTTCATCTCATAATAATTTAGCGTAAAACACTAATGTAAGTTAAAACTAGTTACTAGCTATAATTACTAAAAACCAACGAGTAACGATATCGATGATGACAGTAGTTTAAGTAGTTTCAAATTTTGAGTTAGATTGTTTAGTAATGTAAACGTACCAAATGTGTTGTAAATTGCAATTCAAGTTTAACCTTTCGTACTTAATTGTGGAGTAAGTAATAATGTATAACGTGAAATACATATTATAGAATATAATATTAAATTATACCGAATTCAAACCTGCGAAATAGTTAGATTTCAGTTTGATATACATTTAAATAAATTGCTTACTTCGTATTATAATATATAATATAGTATAATGTATATTGTACAATTTTAAGTATTACTGTGTATAAGTGTATATTATATAGTTTATAAAGTGAGTAGGCATTAAAATTAAGTTTGAAAGTTTATGTTGGAAGTATCTTTAACTTATAATTCATACTAATACAAATTTTGATTAAACATTAATAATTATAAGTACATACAATAGAATGATAATATTATGAAAATATTATTGTACACTAATAATTCTTATTAAGTGTTAAAAATATCGTAGTTGTCGAAAACGAAAGCAGTAATATGGGCTAAATAACTTTGTCCAGCATAAAATTAAGTCTTAGATTAATCATCGAGAACATTGGAGCAAATTTAAAAAGTTATTTTTAAAATTTTCTATTTGGACACTGTTCAAATCGCGATTAATTAGCGAGAAGACATTCAGGGTTAAGAGCTAAAATTTAAATTTGTACCGTTTTTTGAATGCAATAGTTTATTGAAGATTCTAATTTTAACACAGCCCATGATCGGTAATCCGTCCAAAACATTGGTCTATTTAAAGAGAGGAATTTACACACGTACCTAATTATTAGCGGCCCTATAAAAATGGTGTTTTGAATACATTAATTTAGGTGCCTATTGTATATAATAATCAATTAATTTTCAAAACAGGATGTATTATAATCAAAAAGTGTATGCAAAATTAGTTTTAAAGACTTGTTTTTGACATTCTAATACCTGCAATGCCATTTTATATTCTGTATTTCTGCACTAAAGATGAAGATGTGAAAAAGAGATGAAATGAGTGTATGAAGAATTTGCTGAATTAAGCGTATTCAAGAGAGACGTCATAGAGTAACAAAGATCTGGTAGGTTTGATTTGAGAGGAGGAAACATGGAAATTTAAAATAAAAACACATTAAGTCTATATAGGAGACGAGAGTGTCAAGTGGAAGTTTAAGACGATAGTGGCTAATACCAAATATTTGAGAAGAAGGCCAAGTAGAAAAAGAAGTCTTCTGAACAAATTTTAAGTACTAAATAATTTGGTTACTGACCAGTGCACATCGATCCAAATAAGGCTGTAAAACGTCATCGCTATAATAATATAATATGTATAATAGTTGTTATTCTGTTCTACACACTTTAGGTTCTTTTAGTTTTTAAAATAAATATACAACATATCTTTACGTAACAACTACAGTTTATAATATTACTCAAAAACGAATAACCTGCTATCAAATCTTCCCGGTTTAGTTTTCTCGTTCGAAAAAACCAGATTAAGCTATTGCTAAAGTTTTTAAGTCTGTTTATAATGTGTAAAAAATAAAGAAATGTACATAAAAGTTTACTCGAATGAAAAAAAAAATCGTGATACAGTATACCACGGTATTTTATTTCAAAAGTTAGAGCAAACAGTGATTATAAGAACTTTGGAATTACTTTTATTGACTTCATACCTACAAAACAGAAAACAATTTGTTGAATTAAACGGTATTCAAAGTAATGTGCAGACAGTATAGGCACTTCCTACTGCGGAGGAATTACTATACGTAGGTATACCGGCGGTGTGCATTATATTTGCTATATATATATACACTCGCAAATAATATTTCCTTTTAGCTTTTATTAAAGGAAAAAAATAAACAAAAAAAAGTTTGTATCGTCGGAGATAAAATTTGAAATCTTCATATTTTACAGTAGTAATCGCCCGGGAAGTCGTTTTTAAAACTGTTTAGGGCGATTCTGGACGCAGTGGACTATATTGCTCGAAGATAATAATAATAATACGTTTCATTCTTACAATTATAATGATTTTCGTGTAACATTTTACACGCGTTAACTGATCTTAATAATTTTCGTTATTCTTAACCACCAGGGTGGCGGTGTAGGTACTGTTTGCACCGTTATTTTGTACACCACACCTTGCAAGCATTTCGTTCGCGAGGTGAACGCATGTTAAGATAAGAAATTAAAACCGTAAATATACCTAATTCCACGTGGAATCGAGTAGCGACACACATCGGACTCGAGAAAATAATATTATTTACGTTACAAGAAAATGTAAAGGGCAAATGCTTACACGCGCGTATTATCTTTATGCAATTATATCCTACGCTAAATTACAATTTTAGGCCCGGTGCAGTTTAGTCTTATCATTAAACGACGACACATCTGGTGCAGTGTCGCACCTACGCGTATGACTATTTATTTGTCGAGCGCACTTGTTATTAGGCATCCGTAGCACACCGATTTCATCCGATGAGGTTTAGATGGTAAAATAACAACAGTAAAATATAATCACAAACAATAAATATTTTGAACAAAATCTGTTTAGTAACACTAGGAAATCTGAAATGTTTGGATCTAGACAGACAACCTTAAAGCCGGATTTCTAAACTTCACTTGAATTTCGGACTGTGTTTTTTGTTGTCGGTTTTTGAGTTTTCTCGGATTTTTCTAAGTTTCCTTAAATACCTTATGTCCTAATTTTATGAGCAACTACCCGCCGACACCGTTAACCTAGCCAAGGGGGTGAAATTTTGCGACCGATCCGTTTTTAGATTATTAATAATCAAAACGGCCGTTTGAACAACATACTCCGCGGCGTTCGTCGGTTCGCTTGCTCGTCGTCGCACGAAACTATAACCGGTAAATTATTGTAAAGTACGGCAAAAACATTTTCGAGATAAACTGGTGCTGCTGTATAACGAAATAATTGGAATCGCAAATATTGTAATATTTCATTCTGACGCGGTGTACGCGGTCGTTTATGAAGCGGGATAACTTATATACACCGGCCTAATGTTGCCCTCGTTATTTCCGTCGAGAACAAAATATTATATTATCTCGCCGTACAAAAATATTGTAAGCAGACTGGCACGAAAAAAAAAAAAATAAAAATATTTTTTCAGTAGCTAAACGTCGTAGTAGTTGGTAATTTTTATTCGATAAAACCGCATTTGTAATAAGGACACTTGGTCGGGTTCTCGTATAATAATATATAACGTTGATAAATTTAATTTTGTTTTTCGTTGTGCGTTAATGCTCTCATCGTCGTCGTAACGTCTTCTGCCCTCTTCCCACGCGGCTCACGCGATTCTATATATATAATCTCCTCGAGAATCTGCTGTTTTTATTTATTTTATTTTTTCCAGAGGAATAAAATAAATAAAATTATACGTATAGTTTTAAGACGATCGAATGAAGATGAGGGTTTCCGTTGTCAATGCTGTGGTTTTCAAGTATATTCCGGAATCGTCGATTGTTCAAATTTTATACTGAAAAAAAAAAAACAAAAATCATTTTTTCGTAAGTTTCTATTATGGTAATAATAATAATATAAAAAGTCTTAAAAAAGATTAGAATGCTGTTATAGTTCCATTATCTTTGAATATTACAAAAAATAAAAAACCGTATTATTATTATTATCATATTTCCGGATTTTATAAAATACGAGCATGATAAAATTATTATAAAATTAATTTTAAGTACCTAACATATTATTTAGATTCTGAGTGGAAGAGGAATGTATTGCTTTTATAATAATGTTTATTTATTATTATTTTTTTTTTTCTATAGACAACTTGTCTACAATCAATTTTGCTCTAATTTACAATGATATTACTTTTTCTGAAAGGAAATCTGACTAGGGAGGTAAGTTTTTGATTTTCCCAGGAGATTTTCTAATAAATGGGAAAATCCGGAAAAAATTATAGGAAAACCGGGAAATAAAGGAAAATATTAAACAAATATTATTAAAGAAAATACATAATGCATATGTTATTATTTTACCATAATATGACATGTATATTGTTGATAAGCAACAGTATTAATTGAACTCCGCTCAGAATCGTTTTCCGTAAGAAATGGTTGGCCATTGTGTACAGATATACATTGAATTTCCCCTCTACTACCTTCCCTACATCTTGCCTACAACAGTGGCCCACCCACGTGTGAAGTACATCTGTCTTTTTTTTATAATTTATTCTCTGCATATTTCTTGTATTCTAATAGATTTTTTCATTGAATATTGACTCAATATTATGTAATCATTTTATTATTATTTTTAGCGTATTTTTTTCATTTCGTCGCACTCTTTAGTATTTTTTATTGGATTAAAAAAAACATACACATGCACACAACCGTAGGTATGTTGATTTATTTGTAGTGCGTACGTATGTTACAAAACAAGTTTTCTTATATTTTTTTTTATTTATATTATATTAGTGTAGTATTAATAAATTACATTTTGAAAGTAAACTCAAATTATTTTAATCTAATTAAAATTTGGTAATCACTTAGATTACATTAATAATATTAAATATTATATAGTATGTTTTTATGTTTAGATTTTTATATTGAAGTGAGGAATATTTTACTATGATGTGTTATTTTTTGTGGCTGTTAATCACTTTCTTATTAGAAATCTTGTTCCAATCAAAAACTTTACAGGGCATTTCTAGTAGCAAGAATAATCTTAGGATATAAAGCACAATAATTCAGAAACTTTCCATTCGATTTTCGATTACAGTACGTCGTCATTTTTAGAAAAATTATCTTATTGTCAATTTTTATTAAAACATGTAGGTTCTCATATGAAAAACCCAAAGTTTGTATTGCCACATGATACTCCTTATAATATGATGTGAAAAATCGTATTATGCGAACATATCTTTCACTACATTTAAAAATTGGATAATATCAGTATTTAAAGTTATGTTGTGCATAATTAAATCATCAAAATACTTAAAAAAATCACCCTATATACCTACTATGTAAATTTTAATCAATGGTATGGTTATAATATTATCACAGCTTTATAGGTTTGTCACTGCAAATAAATCACAGTCAATTAAATTGGCATCAACATCTATATCAGCTATTTCACCTGTTTTAAGGGCATGCTTATATTGATTACATTTGAACTAAAATTTGACTACCATAACACTGACAATCACTAACGTTCCTATCATACACGTACCTCCTCCCCCCCCCCGAAAATAGTACGCTCTAAAGAAACGACTTTGGTTACTCTTTTAGTAGTTACGTTACTAGTCAACATCAATGCTCTTAATTATTTTACTACAAACAGTAGTTGCTTGAACAGTTTTCAGCGCACAATTTAGGAAATAAAGTTATATAGAGTTTTCTAATGTGCTTAAGATTTTTAATATAACAGAGTACATAACAAATTATGAAGTTTTAGATTTAGAAGAACTAGGGAAAAACTACAATTTTTGAAAATAATAAAAATAAATTGGATTAGATATAATACAATAGGTCACATATGTCATATACTACTATGAATTATTACTGAAGGTTTTACATATGTAGAAGGTTTAATCGGAAGAAAAGGACTGAGGATGAGATATATAGTGCAATTATTAAGGAAATGGGAATTAAAAATTATCGAGGGTTGAAGGATTTTAGTTTTGACAGAGCTGTAATTAACCAACCAAATGATTGAAAATCAGAAGAAAATCGAGGTATTTGTTGTGTTTTACGTGTTTCACAGGAATAAATACAGACCTACAATAAGCTCAGAGAAAATATTCCGGTATCTTTTTAAAATTTAAATACAATTTAAAAACCTATCTTAAACGTTTTTAACATTTCCCTCGTACTGCAGTGTTCTGTATGTGTTCCGAATATCTGACAGGTACCCTTGTAAATTTCGGTTTTAGGAAATTTGAACGTTTTGGTAATTTCCCGATATGTTATCGATGTCTGTGCATTTTCGGTGTTGAAGTGTGTGCTGTGTAGTTTTATTGGTAAATTGTGTGCTTCGTTTATTATTATCTTAGTTGCAATCCAAAAAAAAAAATAAAAAAAATAACATTAATAAAAAAATAATCAATTTGTTTGCTTTCTAGTATAGGTAATTTTTGAGTATACTTTTAATTTAAAAAAATTTATTTACTTATATTGTATTATTATAAGTCTGTGAAAGACTTGTTATTCACATAGCGGAATTTATAACTGTGTTTTTAATGTATTCACAGTCACGGACCTAATTTAAAACAATTTGTATAAAATAATACGATTCTCGTGGCTTCGTTGACAAGCTTGTGCCGGAAGTGATGCCGTTGCAGGCTGATACAGCGCGGTGTACTTTCGTAATGTTTTATTACTATAATAATTTGTTTACTTGTCGAAAGTATTATATTAATTTAATAAATCATATAATATTCTAGGAAGTAATATTATTTTCAAGTGATGAATAATTTTAGTTACCGCGTATTAAAATATTGTCCCGGTCTATACCGTTGAAATCAGTAGTATCGCGTAACGCACGTCGGTTATTATTATTAAATTGATATTATTATAATATAATACACTACTTCCAAACGCGTGTCGTATTGAATAGTGTTAAACACAAGTTGTGCACATCACAAATTATTTATTATCTATAGTTCTATAATAATTTATAGTCCTTTAGATTGTAAAAACCGGAAGATTGTTGTTTTCGACGTTCAAAACGACATGATTACTACGACTAATGCACGTGCGTCAGTACTAAATATTTGAATTGTTAAGAATAATTCAACTAAACACATTGAGTCGGGAAATTAAATAAACTGCCGTCAACAAGTTTGTGGTAGATTCTATGCGATATTACGTACCGCGCACCACCGCAACAAACGCCGAGTATCTAAAGTGCGTATACATAGAGAATTTTGCGCGTTTATTTTGAAATTAAATTAGCGTTTATGCAAAACCAAACAACGTTTCGCCGTTTCATAATAATTCCAACGTGTGCACATGTGAGATCTTTTGTACACTGCGACTGCGGACTAGTCTCATTCGTTTCAGTTCATGTTTAGAACACACGGTATACCTACGATATGGTAATAGGCGTGGATCTCGGCCCGACAGTTTTAAATAAGTAATTCCGGTGTGTACAAGAGGAAATGCATTTTTTTTTTTATGAAAATGTCATTTTAATTGCAATGGCGGTATCTCGAGCGAAATTGTACACAAAACCAAACTCTTTGTTTTTTTTTTTTTTTTAGATTTGGAGAGTACTGAGGGATGTATTAGTTCCACTATATGTTTTTTTTTTTTTTATTGTTTCTGTGAACAACTTTTCTACCAGAAATCTTTCTCCGATTTATCAAGTGTAGCACCTTTTCTGAAAGGAAATTTTATCTAGCTAGTGCATTGGGAAGGTCATTTTTCATTTTCTCAGTAGTTTTTTAATAGTTGACTGAAAAAACCATAGAAAAAATGGAAAATTTTACCCATGAAAATAAAGCTTCTATTATTTTAAATTTAATTTTTTTATTGTAAATCAGTTACCAATATTCTTAGAGACTTGAAATTTTTTAAAAAAAATAATATTTGTTTTTTCTAGACGTGGCAAAATTTTACGAATATTTAAACCATTTTAAAGCTATTTATAGACATTTATTATTTTCAAAATTTTAAAACATGTATAATCGAATTTCGCTCCTAATCGTTTTTCATTATTGATAAGTTATCGTTAGTTATAGATATAAATTAAATATCTATATGTATCCCATATTCTGCACTATCTATAACAGTAGTTTTACCCATCGCCAGTTCTTTTTTTTTTTTTAATTGCATCTCGTGACAATAAATGATTAGAGTAATTATTAAAAACTAATATTATGATTTATTGCTATTGAATCAAATACATATATTTTGAAAAGTGTGACGTCATTCTAATGCATTTTTGTCAAATTTTCTCCAAAAATATAGAGTAATGCATTGCATTGTATTTGATATTTAATCTATTATCTATATATTTTTACTGCTACTTTCGGGCATGTCTAGTGGTTCCTTTGCGACCAAATGAATTTGAATTCATAAATTAGAGTTGTTGTGTAGGTGTTTTATTAAAATGATTAGTTTGGTTTAATTTAAATACGAATTTCAGCATATAGTTGTGTGAGAGGATATATACTATATTTTAGCTTTATAGATATACCCTTATAGAACTCCTCCTACATGGAGCTTTAATGAAGTTGGGTTATATAAAGGTGTATATTTTAGGGGTTTCAAATTGTAATCTCCGGCCTTCTTTCCAATTTTGTATCAAAATTTCACCATATTTTTGGAAGTATTATAGTACATGTTTCCCGTATAGTATTGCAATTTGTAATATTATAGTATTCGGTTATTTACAATGAATATTTCTAAAATTTAAAATAGTGGGAAATTTGATTTTAGTGACTTAGTTCTACTGTCTACGGGTGTTTTATTTTAGTTTTTTAATCTATTATATAATTATTATTATTTTCTTGAAAGACAATTTATGTTTGTTTGGTTTCCTCTCCACAGATGAAGGTGAACAGTCCACTGAGGATTCGGACGATCAACAAAAGCAGAAGCAGTATCAGCCCAAAACGACAAACTACGAGCCATTAGAAAGGCGAATGATGCCCGGTGGGTCAATAACGTTCACATGTAGGATTGGTTTGACAGATCAGGTCCGACAGAACATACAGTGGTATCATTACGATAAGCTTATTTCGATAACGGTACGTAATTTTACGTCATCTAAAATGTGAATGACAGGATGAATATTTGCCATTTCACCGGTAGTCAGAAAAAAGGGAACTAGCTGTTACTCTTTCTTTCACCTTTATGGGATCTCTATCCACCTAAATGGGATCAGCTGCTGTCTTTCTCACATCTCTCTATCTAACTCTGTTTTTTCATTGACTTGATGTGGTCAGCTATATAAAGCTCTAAGTAAAACATTAAACAATTTTTTTAATCACCCACCCACTTCTCCTCCACCTTTCACAATTTTTAGGGCTAAGCAAGTACAATAAATAATCAGCGTTTACCACGTCGCCGATGTCCCTCACTAATCTATAGCCACTTTATATCGCCTACCTCTTATTCGGCTTCTGTGGCATAACTCAACAATCTTCTTGACCATTTAATCATTTTCCCTTCTCTAAAAATATCTCTCAATCGATTCTCTCTCATTTTCCACCACTATTAAAGCTAATATAGCACTATATATGTATATATACATCGTTTAAATCTTTAAAAAGTTGTCATTCCAATCCAGTTACATTTCATCTATCTTAGCATTCCCATTTCTTTGTTTTAATTTCAAATCTACTACTACTACTAATAATAATAACAATAATGACTATTATTATTATTATTATTTGTAGTATTATAATCTTTATACTGTTGCCTATTAGAATTTATTCGACTGCGAGCTACGCGCAACGATAAATCACTCGGGAGTTGCTGCGACACGTCAAAATTACCGGAACTAGAAAAACGAATAACAAATAGATTTATAATTTGTCCCAGCAGCCGTCTAAAACGACAATAATTTATGAAACATTTTAAATGGCCCGCGCGATTTGCATTTACCCGGCGCTTATTATTAGGTTCATAAATATTTTGCCAGGCACCCCAAAATAATAATATTGCGAAAACGAAATTTCACAAAAAAAAAAAAAAAAAAAAAAAAAAAAAAAAAAAAAAAACAAAATATACAAACACAAAATTTGTACGTTATGATTAAAAAATAAAATAATAAATTTGGAATATTATAACTGTTTGGAAGTTTGAATTTTCCACGTAAATACGCTCTTTTGGCTGTCTATAATATTATCTGATATTCCGTTTGAAATTATTTCGACACGGTCAGTGATGGAATCGTAAAATTTATACGTTCAAATTGATCACGTATTGGTCTCGTACATTTTGATGTGGTATCATAATTATTTCATTTTGTTTGTTTTCCACTCTGCTGTATTATGTATTATTATTATATACGAGAGCAATATAATATTATGATTTAGGTATGAATTATGACGAGCACGTTGGACATAAATGAAATTACCGAAATGTGAAGCTATTATTTTATTTATTTATTAATATTTTCGACTACAAAATATATGTAGTTGTATTGCCATTGATGAAGAGTAGACGACCCGTAAATACCCGTCATTTTTTTGTTCTTAATCGACTGCGCGCATAACTTAATCATAGGTACACGATAATTAATATTAATCTTTATATTTGATTATTATTTAATTATATCAATAGATAATAAGACCGTGTAATTTTAGTTTTACAAACAGCGTTTTTGAGTTTCGTGTTTTGTTTTTGGCGTTGTCCATATATATTATATAAATTAATATCATTATATCATATTATCTAGCTTATCAACTGCTTATAAATAACAGTTAATTATTATTTTTTTTTTTTTTTTGAATCCCCCAAAGCAGGCACACACTCGTAATGTTACTCGAACATAGAATGTCTGCCTGCTACAAAATATGATGATTTTTGAAACGCTTATATCTCATAAAATTTCTATCAAGAAAAAATTATCTTTTTATATAAATGAATTGGAAATTTTTATCACCGAATATTTTTTTCATATCAATATCAAACTGTTCTTATCTTTGATTGGTTATCGCTAAACGCCAAATCGCCTAAAACGTACAATATGTTCACAAGAAAAAATCTGTACGAACATAACACTTCTATTCTACTATGTCTGATGCCGGTTCGTGATATTATCAAATCTGGACAGTTACTTCAGGTAAAACACATTGAGTTAAATTACAAGTTATTTTTTTAAAACTAATAGGTTAAAACACAATAAAATGCTAGGAGTCAACTTAGTTATTTTGTTAAAATGTTAATACATAATTAATTACTTTTAATTTAACTTAGGTTATTACATTTGTAACTATTGGAATAACTTGGTAACTCAAATTAGTTTATGTTTTAAAATTATCTTTAACTTGGCTTATTAATTTATTTTTATTTATTTATTTTTTTTGGAAAACCTAACTTGAACTAGTTAAAAAAAATTGATTAACTATCCAGTTTTGGCTATTATAATACTTGTATAGTTCGTACAATAATATGTTAATTACAGATTCACATGGTTTACATTTTATTTTAATATTATGTTTTAACGACGTGCTTGACCGGAATTGATGTAAAAAAAAAAAACCATTTGTACATACTATATAATATACATTTACGACGTAGACAGTTATTTCGGTATCGCACATCACTATCGTCTCGTTTCGCTCGTTTCACGGGTTTGATCTCGTGAGAATTGAATTTTAGGTATAGGTCACTTGGGCTAGTCTGTTAGTGTCGTATTGTCTTTTTAAATCCGAAAACGATTAATCAATGTACTCGAAAAACTACCCACCTATTATAAAATCAAGTCCGTTACCGATATCGGATTTTGACTGTGAATTGTAATGGTTTTTTTTTTCTTTTTGTCACGCAACTTTTTTAAACGCAATAAGCATAATGATAATTTTGACGCACTTTATGTAAGTAATGCATTCAAATTTTTAACTTCCTAATGATTAAACGCACGACAGTAATATGTTTTTTTAAATTTGTATGGTGTATTCATCAACCGAATAAATACGACGTTGCATAGATCAATAGCTTTTATAGGTTTCGATCTTTTAGAATTACGAAAAAATCATTTTTATCTGGTTGAGTTGTAAAAAAAGCTGACCTCAGTTATTTGAATCGAGTTATCAAACTGACGAGTTAGGTATTTAACAAAAAAAAATGTATTATTATTATAATTATTCTATTTCTCTAGTACACTAATTAATTTTTGTATTTATTGTTCCAATGTACTCAATAAACTACACATTGTATTTTGTATTATATTATTACAGTTTTTTTTTTTTTAAATGTCTTATTACTTAATCTCCATTTACCGATGTATTGTTTTTAATTTTTTCCTTTGGTAGTTACATTTTCACGTGATTTAAATTTTAAATAATATTGTGTTCAACTATATATTTGACTACACTAAATTATGTCATTGTGATTTTTAGAGGAAAGGTCTTTTATGTATTTATTGTACTTATTATAGGTCTTGTCTTCGATAAAAGTGACGAATACCAGAATTGACATAAAAAAAAAAACAATCCAATTGAAAATCAATATCTGTGACCAAATTCAATTCGTTAGTATTTTTAAATCTGTTGAGTATTCGTTTTTAAATCTACTCCCCGAACGGAAAATAATACACTTATAAAGCTTTATACATCCCATATTTGTCTTTTGGGACTACAGTATTATATGAGTATAAACATTATATTATTATACAGTAGGCAGTGATTGATGAAAAGATTTCAGATAGATTTGAAATTTCATCTAATATAGTACATAGAAGAAAAACGAAATTAAAATAATAAAAACAAACAGTTTTCGAACACACGCCACACTTAGATTTACAAGGAGTCGTGTATAGACAATTTTAATGTAATTTTCGAAAGTAAACGTGCATAATATTATTTTGTATCGATTGAAAAATATTTAAGAATGGTACCGCGTCGTTATCACAATTAATTGTTGGGTAATCATGAACTTGCTATTCAAAAACGTGTTACGTAAAATAACTTTACAATTTACAATGATAAATATAGATAGAAAAAAATATTTCCACAAGAAAATATATGCGTTTCGCATAACCTACATTATTATGGCGGTATCACTAACGAAATATGTTTTTTTTTTATATCATTTGAACTTTTTGCCGCGGATGAGTTACGAGAAAGTTTCTAAGACATGGGAGTGTCGATCAATTACAGTAGGAAATTCTACGTGGTCTCGTGTTTAAGAATGTGGGCGTTTCGGTTAACGAAATTGTATAAATTATACGCATGCGTGTTAAATATAAATGGGAGGGGAGAATGCAAAGCAAACACATTATTATCAATACTACAGCTGATAATATAGTATTTTAATCTTTGTGATTTTATCAAATGACGACCGTCAAGGTTATAGATGGATCAAATGTTTTTTTGATTTTGGTAAATTATTAAAAAAAACTACGAAGAAAATAAAAAAACGCCTTTCTTGGTTACCAACTGGACTAAAAATGCATTAAAAAAGATCTCTTGTCGTTTTTCTATTTGAGAAATATTTCTGGTACATTAGTTGCTCACAGACACAAAAAATTAAAAAAAAAAAACACATTTCGTAGTAAAACCAATAGATCCCTCCCTACGTTCCGAATCTAATAAACATACATCGTAGTATAACCAGTGAATTCCTCGCTACGTTCCAAATCTAAAATTATCTGATCTCATTTTATTCATTAACTTCCAAAATATTCGAGTTACTGCAAATATTAAGTACTAATAAATTTGTGAGTTATTTATCGATTATTCAAAAACATATCTAGTTTATGCCAAAATGTGTTTCATGAACAATTAAATAAAAAAAATTATATTTTGTATATTTCAGATGTAGTATAATTTTAGATTTTATTTAAGGATTTCGTACATTTTTGAGACATTTTGTTCTAGGTGAGTCAAGAATCACAAACTAATTGTTTAAGATTTATAAATATCAGTAGACGAGCTGAAAACATTAGTAGTGATTTAGATAAAATATCCTAGTTGTATATAGTGTTTAAAAATGGAAGGTGGAAAATGCCATTTTATTTTTCAATGTGACTCATTGAGTCTATTAAAGGACTAACGTTCACTGGGACCTTATAATGTTTAATTCTAACGTGATAATTATTGTGAAGCAATTTCCAGTGGAGTTCAGAAAAATTAAAATTCGAAGACTGTTTCATTATATTCTTCTCTCTTGTTCATTTATTTGTCATTTTCAGAGCACCTAATTCGAATAACGACTTGTTTAAAGTACCGTCTGCGTTAAATTACTTATTTAAACATTTTTTTTTTTTTTTTTATAAAACTTTCCAAGCATATTTTCTTACCGAAAAAAAAAACAAAATGTATCATTGTAAAACTAATAGCTCTGTTACGGTGATTGACCCAATATTTTCAAAGATACCTAACGGTTTTGATGACTTTAGTTGGCCAAATAGTGTTTTTAAGAAATGAAAATAAAATACCTACAGTTTGATTGTTATCAATATAATCGCTATATAATTTTTGTTGTTTATTTATTCCGACTATCAGTTATATGCCTCTCACTCTACTTGCATAGCTTTTAAATAAATCACGTATATTTAAAATATATATATATATGTTAAAAAAATTAAATAGGTAAGTTTAAATGAAAAAAAAAATTTAATAAAATTTAAAATAGAGCACAATATTCCAAATGTGTATTGGCATGATTGAGGAGAGGAGTAACTTTGGCATTTGCTCCAGTATAATTATTAGCCTTGTTCGTATATCCCCTCACAGATAACTTTTAATTATGATTTTAAACTATAAAAATAAAATATATAATTTAAATGCAATTTCATTTTTATAAAAACATGTTGGCACATATCTTGTCTTGTATCCTCGATTGTATAATTATGAAAATCTGAAATATTTATTGAATGAAGTGAAAACTTTTTATTTTATTTTCTGATAAAAAACTCCTTTCCTTATCAGCTGAAAAATTCTTTAAGTTTGCTCCAGTCTATGAAATATTGAAACATATGCAAATCATGCATAATATTATTTTATACATTTGCATATTTTGTAATATGACGCTAATTTATTTCGAAAACGTCAAAATATGAACGACGAGTGTTCGGTATCTTATATATTTTATTCTCTGTTATGCGATTTTTTTAAGTTTAAAAAAGCAAAGTATTTCGAAGAAAAAAATTCACTTAATCGTCTAAACTTTAGATAACCTATATTTATACTTAAACGATTATTTTTCGTATTTTATTATATTTTGTAATCACGATGGTCACATGTCGATGTCATGATTTCCGGTTGATATAACTTGAAATTATTAAAGCGAGAGGGAATTGTCAATTAAAAGGAAAACAAAAATGCATGCAAGATATAAAAAAGTTGATGACACAAGAAATTCATATTCATAAGTTTATGTGATACAAATGATAGAAAATTCGAAAAAAAAACTATATGATGGTTAATGATGGGAAAACACAATGATTCGTGTTTGTGTATTACAATGTATATACATATATATATACATAATAATAATTCGTGCCTTTTTTCGTATGCAGAACATTTTACTAGATGAATTTTTTTTGTTATGTTTATATATACTTTTTTTTTATGCGTAAAATTGTTAAATTTCAATTCATGACGGTACGAAAAAGCTATTGTTGTTTGACAATGACGTATACAGCATATATGTGTACCTTTTTTGCGTACTAAAAAAAAAAAAAAGAATATATAATATACATACATATATTATATTTTTTTTCTATGCGTTTCAATAATTTTACCGCATACCATACGTCGTATTATTGTTCAATCGATTGGAAATCGTATGAATAGACATTTTACTTAGGGTCTGTTAAAATTGCACCATAATAATAATATAATATTTATTATTTTTTATCCGAGGAAGAATAATTACTGTATGCTGATCCATAATCATGAATTATTTTTTTCTTATGAACACTTTATCTTGCGACCGTTTATATTGTTTCAAAATAACGGTTACCCAAAAAGTTTTCTAGGTCATAAAAAAGAAATAATAATGATAACAAATTTGTCACGAGTACATTTCATGTTAAGTTGTATGCAATTCCGATTTTAAACTATATAGTATATAGTTTCGGTATTTTTATAATATAAGATGGTAAAAGCTATTTTCTAAAACCGAGTCTAAGAAGGATTGTATATTAATATTTATTTCACGTTGACCTCTGGTGTTTTGTTAATTGTGGTTAATCTCTCGTCCTCAACATCTCTAAATGTTCCGTTATAATCTCTCGTTTACACTCTTCGGTTACTCATAATTCCTTTGTAAATGATCAACCAGTGCGGCTTCTGTACGTGACTTAGGTTTTTACATTTACCCGAACTCTCGAACTCTAAATCCCGGTGGATATATCGAGGAAACTTTTAGTAAAGCATTTAAACTTATTGATTTTATTAATGGAGTTTGTCGTGAATTCCATTTTATTTCACTACTCAAGATCCTTTACGGTTCCCTTATTCCTCCTGTCTTCTTACCCATATCATGATGATCGAAATGGTCTAGTGAAAATTTTTTCGGCTAGTAGCACAGTGTAACATCACTTACTTCCCATAACTACACCCTAATCTAACTAGCATTCTCCGTGAATCGCTTTCGAATTGTAGATTCGTGGAAAATCACACATTCACTATAAATCGGTTAACTGTTTATTTTAAAATTCTTATACGTTATACACAATTTTCTGCCATTTTAATTTTTTTTTTCTCTCTCCCCGATTAACTCCCCGATCACATGACAAATATACATAGCAAAACAGTAACTCTATTTTATTCCCAATTTGAGACGTTTATATTCGTTTTCTATAATTTTACTTAGAATTAATTGAGAATAGTTTAATAATTAGTTAAGGATATAATTCGTATTTTTATACTCACTAAATAAATAATAAATAATGTGAAAGACACGGACATTACATAAATAATGATATAATGATGTTACAACATGATTCAGTCATGGGCTATCGTCAGGTAACGAAGAAAACTTATTATTATTTATTATTTATTTTATGTGAGCATTAAATCTTTCTTATTTTTCTTATAATTACTGTTCAATTTAGGTGCAAGTGTGTTATAATTGTTAAAAAATAATATTATCTTCTTCAGTATTTCCAGCCTTTTCAAATCAACGGCACCACCCTCTTTTTAGATTTGTAAAATCTTCGTATCAACTTGACTAAATGTTAAAATCGTGACTGTTCCAGGATCGTAGGGGTGGTTTGAGCGTGGAAACGGAAAGATCGTCAAATTTTTTCGCCAGCCGACTGACGCTGGCCAGTGTTACCAGATCGGATTCTGGTAAATACACTTGTAGATCAGGAAACAAAAATTCCACTACTTTTACTCTACACGTCGTTTCACCCGGTAAGTAAAATATAAAGTGATTTTTTTATCATGTACCAGCAATTATCACGGAGAATTTTAAGCGAATTTGATTTTAGTTTTTTTTATCATTGTGGAATCGTTTAACTTTTACGTTAAAACAATTTTTAATTTTCTATCTCTGCTTAAATAATTACATACTTTTGTTTTTAAAATGAGAACACTCCTTTTTGAATACAGGTTCTAATAGAGAATATTTTATTAGAAATGTTGGTATGTATACCATTTGTAAAGGTGCATGCGCCTTCCTAACAGGGCCCTTCTCAGGCCTACCACATAACCATATCATTTACCATAGGTGACAAGGCAGGCTCCGTCTCAAATTAATATCAGATTTACCGTTCAAAGTTTAAACCAAAGGAGTAGAGAAATCTAATTCCCTTAAAATCCTCCAAGATAATTGCTGGTTCATGATAAAAAAAATCACGCTGTATATTATGTAAATGCACATGAGTTTGTTTTGTATGATTATTTTTTTCCACCATTTTTGATGATAATTATTAATTCCCTTCTTCTTCTCTTATTTTTAAGATAAATCGCAATAATTTATCGCGATAAAATCTGTTAGCTAATCCTGTAGGAATTTCAATACTATCTACTTTTTTATTTCGAAAAACTATATAGTGAAAGACTATATTCATACGGTCTCGTATAGAATTGCATTAATACGAAATTTCATTATAGAAACGCGTTATACATACAATTTTGAGTATAAATAAACGACAAATTATTTAATTTTGTGTTTGGTTTTTTTTTTTTTTGTGTATATACTCAATGTATATTAAATACATTTTTTTGTTTATTTTTAGAAATAAAATAATGTGATATTGGTTTAATTGTTTCAGCTAACGAATTCGCTCTTCGAGACGGTTTGACGTCGGAAGCTTCGAGTAATTTTCACTCCGTTTATGTTATGATGTTTTCAATAATGGTCGTCGTTCATCTAATCTTCGCACACTCAATGCATGTCGTTGTACTTTAACCACGTGCAAGGGAACAATAGGCGATGGAATGACCATCGTTTTTTACATGTAATTTTGCAGCGATTATTATGAATAACTTTCCTACATGAAAATACTGAATACCATAGATTAAATAATGAAAAAAAAAAAAAAAAAAACAACGCCTGAATCGATTTGCTACGACGGAAACGAATTATCAAACATACAAGATGTAATACCTGCAATGTTTTACTGTAGTAGGTACAATATACATACTGTACTTACTGTGTATACATCAGATACTTACTGCGTTTAGATGCTTGTCTTTAGGAAAATCGCAAGTGCTGATTGTGTCATGATCATTACATAATCATTCCTGAGCTGGTCTATTAATATTATGTTTATGATTTAAATTATCGTAATTATAATATATATTATATAACGAGATGAAAATATTATTTTGTACACATTTTACACGTTTTTTTGTAATTATTTTTAATTTTTAATGAATATTGTATATATCATTAATTTAATTTAATTCTGATCGACCATATTATATTTTATATTTACATACATAATATGTACTAGCAAAGACAAGAAATAATAATATGTATCAAAACAAAAACGTACGTCATGATTTTAGTAATTCTAAGTCGACTCTGATCCATTTTGACGTTTTCCATTTAAGCTACTTAAGCTTATATATTTTTAATATAAATGTGAATGCTTTGAAAACTACAATATGTTGTATAATCGTACAGTACCTATATTTATAAATAATATTCGAGAGAATACTAATCAAAAACATGTCACAATTTAGAAAACATATTGTACCGTGATAATATTGTTTTTCAATATTATAATAAGTAATGCATTGCTTTATAAGTTTCCATTAATTAATAAGTTGCAGTTTATAATCATCCAAATGAATAATATTAGTAGGTACTAATGTATATTTGACATTTCGGGGAACACGTGATAAATTCATAATTACAAAAAAAAAAAAACCGCTGACGTTTGAAGCGAAATTAAATAGTTGACTACTTAAATCACCGAACTTTTAAGTACTTATTTAACCATTAAGTTTTTAACTAATAACTACGTAAGTATAATAAACCATGATTCATTACTTATCCATTCGTTTTACACGTCCACTATCCGCTATCCTAAGTATGTACTTTCTTAAAAATGGAGAATTTAGTTAAGATATTTTTATCGAATTAAACCACGTTTAAAATTAATTTTAGCGTGCACACTGCAATGTTACTCACTGGCCAGTGGCCATTAGAGTTGAAAATGTATAATAAATGGCAGTTATATTCTGCGTTTTGTGTCAAAAACTATACTATAAACATATATTTCATAAACTCTTTACTCGTTAGACAATATGAAATCTTTTAATGTGGCCTGTGTATCGTGGATTTTTAAAAATTGTTAACATTTATAATTATAAAAATTTATAAAAATTTTGAATAAGTATCTGGTTCAAATAGGTTTTCTATTAATATTAAGGGACCTCCCGGTGAAAAGTTTTTTGTTTTGTTGCTCAAAATATGCTTTACAAAAAAATCTCTCACGCCTAATATAGTGATTCGGTTTCAATAGTTTTTATTTTCTCTTGAAACGAAGAAAACTTCCTATAGATAATTGAATTGGATTTCTTTTATTCATTATTCCTTTATTTATTGATTATGTAACCATAACAAAAATGAGTTTAAAAACGGTAAAAATTGGTTAAATTCAAATTTTTGGGCAGTTTCCATGAACACCATCTTTTATCATCTATTTATATTTTGTGGGCGTTATCTTTTTATCCGTCCACTCCCAACATCCTTTAATCTGATTTTTTTTCTAGGTCAAACACAATGCCTGTTTCCCTTTAATTACAGCGATTTGAAATAGAATCCAACGTGCCCTATAGGAAGTCATTATTCTATGCTAGGAAAGAAAAACATTTAATAATATCATTCTACGAGGAATTAGAGTATTTCTTGAAAATCATGTTTTCGACCAAAAAACCGTCACGAGCAAGTCTCTTAAATAAAAATTCAATTATATTCATGCAAATATAAAGTTAATATAAATAATAAGTTTTATTTATTTTTATGATATTGTTAACATACAGATTTAATTAATTTTTATGTTTTATCCATGTCCAAAATATTTTCAAATAAACTATCGTCTGGCGAAAAATCCGTATCTTTTAAGGTACGGCATACACAAATCTGTGCATATTAACGTACCAAAAAGTGTTTTCCAAGAAAAAAAAACCACACATCTTAGTATAACTAATGTATAGCTTAAGTTCGCTACTCTCAGAATCTAAAATACACGGATTTAAATTAGTTAAGTTAAAACATCTTCGGGCTTCGGCCGTATTAATAATTACAATATTATGCTAACCGGAAATCACTTTTGTAACGTGTCTGGGTTTTATTTTCATCGTCCAACCACCCGGACCGCCCCTCGCTCGGCCCTTTCCTTCGACGCAGTAGTTATATTATATTTTCTGTCGGGCGAATAGTAACAAAATAACAATAAAAAATAAATAATGATGTGTACTTTTTGTCGACTGTCTTGATCTTTCGAGCAGTTGCCCGCGAGGGCCAAAGCCAACATTTATTAATGCTCGTTTGCAACGTTAGCGCGGATGGCGTCCACGGGAGGGATGGGTCGTCGGGATTTACATTACAAATCGAGCCATTTGACTGGGCAATTAGTCGACGAAAATGACATTAAGGACGCGGAGTGAAAAATCCACTGGCAAGATTAATCGCCAGCAAGGTTTGGACAAGCTAATATTTCTTTTATCTTTTTCTTCGTCTCCTCGTCGTCGTTTCATTTTTGTTCACCATCGTATATATTATTATAGATCTCATATATTTTTTGTTTTTGATATTATATAAACAATTATGTTTTCGTAAAAACACTTACAAATACAATAGGTATTTTGCAGTTTTTCTGCAATTACACAATTTATTGTTCCGCCACATTAATAGTCACGGCATGATGGATATACATAAAGTTATTAAATTTATATCTGTACGTAAAGATAAACCATTGCTAACGAAAACCGATTCAGAACGAAGTTCGGTTATATACGTTTTGAAAAGCCGTTATGTTTACGATTTTTGTCAAAATTTGATTTTAAAATTCTTGAAAAGAAATACATTACATTAATTTTTTTTTTCTGAAGTATGACTTACAATAAACCTGTCGAATTCGTCAAGCATTTATGTTTAGTCTAATAATTTTATTCATAGTATACCTGCTAAATAAAATGATACAAAACACTCGCAAAATTAAAACGTCTGTAAACAGCTCAAAAATGTTTCAAATGTTTGAAAATTTTACCACGTCTTGAAAAACAAATATAAGTTTTCTATCAAATTTCTAGTTTTTACGAATATTTTAAACTGAATTATATTAATAAAACAAAATTGTATATGAAAAAATAATTATTTTCATAAATGTTCTCATTATTATTCCCGTATTTTTTGGTTTTGCTCAATTATTAAAAAAACTTACGAAAAACACTACGATTTTAAATGCAAAAGTCGCACATTTAAATTCATTATTAATTCTTTTAAGTGCCTCAAAGATTGTAATTTTTTAAATATTTTTTGATTTTATTAGATACCTTTTGAGCTTCTAAATATTGTATTCGAGTATACGGTATTCGAAAACAAATTTTGCCCAACAGTGTTTTTAATAATAATTGTGTTCGTTTAATTAAGTCAATGCTTTCGTGTACGAAACAACGTAATGAAATAACTTATATATTTTGTAATTTTGTCTGAATAAAGAATTCTGCTGGCTCCAAGAAAATTTCAATTCACTACACACAAAAACCTTTCGCAGAACGCGTAGAAATTGAAATATGTTCATCATCGTACAGTTTGCTGCATTTATATTGTATATAAAAAAAAATAAAAATAAAGAAACAGTGAATTAATTTTCAAATTCTTAGAATGTTTGTTCTCTGTACAAAGAATGTTGGTATTATTATTATTTTAGTGAATCAGCATTATATTTATCTCTCATACATCGTGTAAATGAAAACCTAGCCATTTACTATTTAATCAAAAATTTGATAATTTCTATATAACTTTAACGATAAGAAACGTAGATAAAAATAAACTTAAAGTGATTGGGTTGAAAAAAAAATTTTTCGATTTTCTTTTTGAAAATTGTTTTCTTCTCTTAAGAGGAAGTCAAGCACTGTCGATATTTATGCAATGTAAATTAAATTTTTGAAAAAAATGAAAATTGATCGAATCAAAACAATTCAAATTCATTTGCATAAATACAATTGAAAAAAGGTGAAGGGGTATTATTACAAATAACAATTGCTGTGTCAATATAAAATTTTTTTAAAAACTTGTTCTCATAATACAGTAAATAGTACCATTCAAAGTGATTTGAGAACTTATAATCATTATGGAAATAAAAAATAATACGATCTTGTCTATAGAAAATGTGAGACATACTAATTTTGAATTTCTTTTAATGAGATGGTGTATCAGTATTCAAAATAGAAGTGAAAAAAAAAAACCGGAATTACTTTATTTAATAATGTTTATTGAACTAAATGGATACTAACTATGAAATATAAATACATACATTTGTATATAAATAATAAATATACATAAATGGGGGTAACTAGCGTTCTTTAATTTTTATTAAAGGCTGTTTTACGCTGAATCGTACTCGTTTCGAGATAAAACGATACATGATTTTCATGTCTATAAATGCTCACGCTGACATTTATCTTAACCTACTACAAATACACAAGGTGATTTTGCATATATAAATATATATACATTACACATAATTATAAACTCATTTAGGTAAAATGACAATATCATAATATTCGATCGAAAGGCGAAAAAAGAAATCTTGCGTTTTTTTGTTTTTTATTATTGTCGATACAAATATACAATAACATTATCTAATATTTCGTTGCACACATAGACACAAATATTGTTTTATGCGAATAACTTCACCGTAGGTAATATAAATACACGCAGAGATAATACAATATTATTTATCCGTACCCAAAGTAAATAAATTGCGTAAACTTATTGTTATTATAATATTATATTTTTGTATATTTCGAGGAGAGGATATCGTTTTACGAGTTTTGGATGTATAAATGTAAATTCGATTCTCTAATACCGGGGAGTTAGATATTCGCCATAAGTTGTTTATAGTCACTGTATTCTACGGCGCTTTTTTTTTTTTTTAAATTTTATTTATGACGCTTTTGACGCATATAAAATACAGAATAATAAAAATCTCCAGTTCAACTTTTAAACCTTTATGATCTTATTACGTCTGGAGTTATAACTTACTTTGATATCTATGTAAAAAAAAAAAAAAAAATAAAAAATTGATCAACGTATTATATTATTCCATTATTATTGTATATTCTTGTCAATGTATTATATATATTTTTTACGGATATTTGGAAATTTAAAACATAATAGTTGGTACTGCTCAGTGCTCGCTGTTTCGGTTCCGGTCATTAATTGGAACTTAAAAACTACCGGTTATGATCGGTTAATACCGGTTATTATAGGACAATAAATAGTTGATAATGTTCACGGGTGCGCCACTATAGTGAGGTAAAGAAGGTAGAATATACGTTTTATTTTATAATAAACTGTGTGCAACTTTTAAAGATTTCAAATGAAAAAAACGTTTCCGAGCGGAGTACTTATGGTATATTTTGTATTTTTCCCTTGTTATCAATAAGAAAACTCAAAATTTTTGGAGATTTAACCTCTTATAGACCAATTTCTGTGA